GGCAATACGAAAGTCAGGTAATTGCCAGTCCAGATACCGTGTTGCTAACACACCGCAACGTTCATAGTGAAGACAGTCTTTGATTCATGTGTGCGTGAGTACCACGTGACGCGCATATCTTACGCACCATGGCTGCATTAATGTGCGTGACTTCGGTAATAACAGTGCGAATCGATTACCCAAAAAATGTGTGAGATTTTATATTTCATTCCTATTGACGTACCTATTGATTCTAAGAGTATAAAATGTGTGTGCGTGGCGTGTGCATTTGTGTGTGTGTGTGTATGGGGATATGGTTGCTTATGTGTGTTTTATGTAGGTACGAACATCGCACTAAAATATTGAAGATATGTAATAAAACCTATAATTAATGTAACAGTTAAAATAAATAAAAAAGCACAGTAGATATTTATGTATGTAACATATATTTATAATCTATTATTACTAAATATATACAGAGTACTACACTTTTGTACTGTAGAACACAAAATATTGCCGCTTTTTACGAAGACATTAAATTATTTTTCAATCCTAAGTAAAATGACGAAAAAAAGTAAGTTTGGTTAAGCGTAAACTTCAGCCAAGAGATAGCAAAATGTTTATTTTTTTTAAATTGCTCCGTTCCGTTACTTCGTGAAGGAAGGACAAAAACAAATAAACAAAAAAATCACACTTTCACATTTATAATATTATATTAGTATGAATTGTCAAGAATGATAGATAAACTTTTAAAACCGGTTTACAATCGGCTTTTTGAGGGTGGAACTATACCGGTTACTACTATAACGGTTTTGAGTGACCAAAAAAGATAGAAGCACAGGAAAGTGCAATTTCATGCTGCCTGATGTAGTTCAACCCTAACCCTTAAAACGGTTTAACTCTATAGGTTGGGTAAAATCTGTAAAATTAAGACTGTTTAAAACCCCTATACAGATAACCTTTGTGGTTGATCATAACATTAAAAAATGGTAAAAACATTTCATAGACTAGACAACACTCGAATATTATAGCGCAATATTAATACTTGTATTGATATTTAGCTTTCGTATTCTTTACACCATAAAATTGTATAGTTACTTATGAAAAGTGATGTTCTTATCCTTATCTTCTTTCCAAGAGTAATTTTTAAATGATTTCACAGCACAAACAGTCATTTTGCGAAATTAAAAACACCGGTGCGTGACGTATGTTCACAGCGAACGTCGCTGGCGTAATGGCGGAACGATCGAACGAATACGCCAATATTGGCGCCTTTGAAATGGAAGCGTTTTAGGCGCGCGTACACGGTATCTAGACCTATAAAACATCTTTGGTTTTATTATTTCAACACTAACCGCTAGTGTAAACTTTGACGCTAGCTAGTGTGTTCATTTCCATATCGGTATGTAACGCGCTCGCGCCAATGAGCGCTTAGCAGCAATCAATACGCAACTAATGATGTATATTCATCTTTTTCTAACGATAGGTATGCCCTATCATTTGTCTCTTTTTGTTAGCGCAACGTGTCTTAATAAATAACTATACGTAGATATAGTACTACCTGCGCCACTTTAAAATACAATAATGTTAGTGTGTAACCTGTCTATCTTTTTTAATACGTCTTTGGTTTATTTGTTGTTTACACTATCTACCTATTTCTTAAGAGCCAAGCATCCCGATTCCCGACGAATGGCCTTGCAAGTTGCATGCTTTGGGTATCACAGAACTTACATAGTAGCGGAAACATACACTTTCACAATGTATTTTTTTACTCTTTATTAACAGCCCTTAGTAACCGGAAAGTCCTTTGTGACGTAGGAAGGAGAAAAGATGCAAAGTAATACGGACACTCGCGCGCAGTGGTAAAGTTTCATTTAGCTTGCTTGCGCGATTTATCTGATTAATAGTAACTATGTAGGCTATTAAAACGTCGGAAAGCAGTCAACATCAAAGGAGTGTAACTTCTGTACGTAGTACTATTATTTATTCTGTGATATAACAACGTTACATCGCCGTCCGCAATTGTCGAGCAAATTAGTACTAAAGCGGGGAGAACTTTAGTAAAAACAACGTACTCGTAAAATTATGCTGAAAGAAGTTTCGGCGGGCCACTTTTCGACGCTTGAGCTATTCGAATTGCTTATTACCTTCATAAAATTTTAATAAAATATATGAATATATTATTATTAAAAACAAAAACAATATGTTTATTAGTTAACAGTATATTTTGTCTTACGAATATAATGTGAAATGTGTTCTCTAATTTCTCTAAAAAATAATAAGCTTTTTCATTTAAAATATATTTACACGATTTTTTGGAACGAAGTTCTTTATCGGACGGTGCGGGTTTGGCGGATGGGAGCTAGGCGACAAAAAGTGTAAGATTTTTTCGTCGCTACCCCTTGTGTCATAGTGTATTTTATTTTAAATGACGCTTCATTTTAATAGACGCTAATAATTAATTTATTTATATTTGTTAATGAATAATATAATACGTTTTCAATAATAATATACTATTAAAGGATCTTCGTTCCAATCGAGTGGGCCACGACACTCACGCATGTTTTTTGTGAAACCTACGCATTGAAACATGTTCACAAAGTGATTTAGTCTCATCTTTACAATATTTATTTATCGAGCCCATTACATTATTGTCTTTACACAGCTCTTTTACATATGTTCAATTGTTATAAAATGATTTTGTTTTTACGTAATAAACATACTTTAAGTAAATTTACAGAAGTTAATATATAGACATAAAGTAAAATAAAAACTTAATAGATTTTATCTTAATTGAGGCGACGTTATAGTTAAAGTCGCCTTAATGAAGCACTAGATTAAAAAGGTTTATAAAAAGATTATTTCGCGTAATACATTAAATGGAGAGACTGGCGATGACAGCAACAACCGAATACATCAAAGACATTAAACGTGCTTACTTGTGTGAAACAAGAAAATGCTCTTAAGATACCTAAATCATAAGCAGGTCAAAAAGCAGCTACTCAAACATCTTCTTAAGATAGTTAATAAAATCAGACGTTACTTTGTCGAGATCCATTGTATTAAAGATGTTCAAAATTAATTACATAAGATCCGCGTATCCCAGCACCAGCACCAATACTCCCAACACCATTACTGCCAACACCACTACTCCCAACACCACTACTCCCAACACCACTACTCCCAACACCACTACTCCCAACACCACTACACTAGGAAAGAAACAACACCGTCGATAATGCGACACGTGTCTTGTCTTCAAACTTGGCATCATCAGGTGAAATAGACTGCGGTGTCTGACTGTTAAGTGCTTAGCGGTCAGCCATCGCGTCATTTGTTGACGGAGATGGTTCACGCAATTGAGAGAGCGCAGGAGGTGCTCTTCAAACTGAGTAAGACGTATCACTATATTTTATTACCCGTATCTAACTAATTAATTTTTAACGTTCATAACCATCTTTAAATTTATGAATTTGGTACAACATTATCGGGATGTAGGAGATCAAGCGTCATTACGTGGTTATCGGCCTTTATCTGATAAATGCAGAGGAGAGAACGTCTGAGCAAGGGAATACTTTTGAAGACCGTGAACCTGCTTAGCACACAGTCTGTAAATATCTGTCATTCCTTTACCACCATTGGCTCGGGAGAGATTTTGGACGACGTACCAAATATTTAGTAACCCAATTCGCAAGTATTAGTAGGAAGCTTGTTTATTTTATACCAAATTCTTAACAATAGAAGTAGTTGCCCTCAGTTACTGGACGCGTTTGAATTTAGCGCTCCTTCAAGATATCGCGTCATCCAATAGCACCATTAAGACCATTAACCCAGAGTACCGTTCTAGGCTCCAGCTCTTCATCACCCAGACAGTGTAAGCTGCTAAATGGCTACAAACACTTAATTCATGTAAATTTGATTTCGCTCACAGTTTCCGTAAAAAACATTGTCGACAGTATGGTTAGTACCAACCAGCTTGTGTATTCTATTAACGTACGGATAAACTACGTTCTTTTATAATTGTTAACTTTATTTAACCAAATTAAAACCTACTTAAGCTATTTAATGTATATATATAGGGCATGCTGTGTTTACTATATGGTCTTACCTACACTTATCTTAAAAAACTATTCTCTTGTGGAAGATTGTGAAGTGCCTATACGCGAAGAGAGTAGTTCAAAAATGCCACCTGTTACATACTGCTCGCTCCGTATCAGCGTATCGTGCGATAGAGAGAGTCGCAAGTCTTGAAAGCAATTGCCTACATTTCCTTTTTGAAATATTGTTTCGGGCGATAACGTTTTCACCCCGCTAAACCTATACGAAATGAGACCATTTTGGTCTCGTTAGATTCAGTACACCTTAATCTAGGCCTTTACATTACATCATTTACATTTTTTTTTCTAGTAATTCAGTTTACTTTAATTAAAAAAACGCTCGAAAAAGTTTTTAAGTTAAAAATATAAATATTTAGATGCTAATTACTTAACATCGTACGCAATATTTCTTTAAAATAAAAACGTACGGGCCTAGTTTTCCATTACATATTTAAAAAAATTATGAAAATTAGACTATGTTTACGGGTAAGAAGAACCTTATCGCTTTTTGTACGAAAATTTACTGCTTCAGATGTCTAAGTTAACAATGGAACGGCAAAGGTGTTTATTGCCAAAACGATGCCAATGAAGATATAAATATATTTGCATCGTAAGTTTTTAAAAGTTAATTTGTCATTTATCGCCTATCTTATTATATCTTATTATCTAAAAAAAGCAATTTCACATTAATATAGTCTATATATCTAATCTATTATAATTAAGGAATTCACCATTTGTTACTTCTGTGTATACAATAGTTATTAACATATAGTATGTACACGTGTATTTCTTTTTGTTACATGTGTGTAGGTATATAATAGTTAATAACATATAGTATGTACACATGTTTTTATTTTGTTCCATCTGCGTATACAATAGTTCATAACATATAGTATATACACGTGCATTTATTTTATTTTTAAGGAACCTCCTTTTACCTGATGGAGTCCCAATAGAGCGTCAACGAGCCAGATTCATTGTCAAGATCTACAAAGCTGATGGTCTTCCAAAGATGAACTACTCTTTACTGGCTAACGTGAAAAGAGCATTCACTGGCGAAACTCAAGACTTGGTAGACCCTTATGTAAAAGTCTGTTTCGCGGGCATGACGGTAAGTACAACTTTTTTTTCATAAAGTTCTTAATATGAAATCACGCGGTCAATCAAAAATAATTATAAATCAACTTCATCCGACTGACTGAAAAAGAATAAGAAGAAAAATTATAGAAGGATCTCTTTAAAATATACCTACAGGCCACTGCGAAATTCTTTCATCACTATAAATTAGAAAAATATTTAAAACCAGCAATAACGTGATAATATAATTTGACATCTATGCGACTTTCGCTAATTCACTGTAAAGTGGCTGCGTAACAAAATTTACTATTCCATTATATCATTCCGTGGGGTCAGAGACAATAGAGGGAAAAACAAGAGAAGGGCAAAAATACGCTCCTGATAAGATTCAAAATAATAAAAATCCACCTGACAAGCATGGAACTTATAACAAATGGTTATGGTTATGGTTCAGCTGTTCAGCTGATCACGCTATTTCTTCAATAGAAGTATACACTAATATGTTTGTCGTATGACTATTTAGTCATATTGTATCTATACAAATAAATAAAATTGAAGTGTCTGTAATGTTAAAATAACAACTTTTTACTAAATGCATGTGAAAGTATATAAGATACTTATAACGAAAACTCAATTTTTAAAATTTTTGTCTGTGTATCTGTTTGTTCCGGCTAATCTCCGAAACGGCTTGACCGCTTTCGATGGGACTTTCACTCGCAGATAGCTGATGTTTTAAACAGTAACTTAAGCTACTTATATTTGAGAAAATTAAGAGAATAAGGTTCCGCGCAACATAACTAAAACACTAAAATACATCTAGTTTACGAATAAATCTCTACAGTCTACACAACCAAATTTTGCGACGTCATTTAGTGGTGAAAGCCACGATGTTTAATTGAGAACGCATTTTTTTATAAAAGTGAAGTAACAAACGAACTTACAGCCTACCTGACTGGTGATGGCTTCAAGGAAGGCTACAAATCGGTTGCTCTCTCTGAGGACTGAGATGGAATGCCTCACAGACTGTAACTACACTAGCTCTCTATTCCCCTTAAACCGGAATAAGGCAGAGGACGCACTGTTTCTTTGGTGGCAGAAATAGGCAAGAAGATGGTACCTACCCAATACCCAGGCACAAAAGTAGTCCTACTACCAGGGGCGTAGCTACCGCCATATCAGCCGTATCAATGATACGGGGCCCCCGGGCTACAGAGGCCCCGAACTTATGTAAGCAAACATTCTAAGTACTTCTATGGGATAGGATGTTGGTTTGAATTTTTTGGCTAGCTTAGTTCCTAGGAGTATTAATTGTAAGCAATAACTTATAATCAATATATAATTAACTTATAATCAATTTTAATTCAATGCGAGAGTTTTTGTTCCTTTTGTGAAAAATCTTTAACCTTCATTTGGGCCCGCCCGACTAATTTTGATACATTTTGATACAAATTTTGATTTGAGACAAATTGTTGTAAGGCACGCTACTCCACTGCCTACTACCTAGATATAAACTACCTGCTATTTAGTGAAATAAACGTTTTAATTAGTTAAACGGTTATGAAAGACAATGTCGTCATTTGTAAAACATTTACGCGAGACTATTTACATTTATATCACTGTCCTTTAAATATTGAATATCTACAAACCTTTAACACTTAAATGTTCTTTATTATTTTATAGTACTTTTATTTAAAACATGTATACAGCATTTTATTTGCCGTGTAACAGGAACGGTACTTGTAATTTTATTTTAAATAACGGTCGGTATAGCGGGGTAACAATTTTATTGGTGCCGGTGGGGATTGAACCCGGTTGCTCGCGTACTGTGAAACTTACAGCGGGCGCTAACCATCTGAGCTACCACGGTTTCCTATTTCATATCAACAGTTTTTAGTACGCGTAGTTTGTTAATAAAATGATTACAACTTTTATAAGTTTTATTGCTATTAAAAATGTAAATGCATTGTCATATTTTTTAGCATTTGATAGACAAAGGACAAATGTACCATATAGCCAACTATATCGATTTTATACTTTATGTAATCTTTTTTTTTATCTTTTTTTAAAAACGTTACCCCCACACTAGGATTTTCTCCTGTGTCGTGGAGGCAGTTTACAAACATAAATTGCACAAGGACAAACATCCAGACCCGGAACAATTATTTGTAGGCCATACAAATACTTGTTCCGTGCGGGATTCGAACCCGCGGCCCCCAGCGCAACAACTGATTGTTAAGCCACTGCGCCACTTAGCCGTCAAATCGATTTATTGATTTATTTTGGTCAAAATTATGAATTTTTCCCTGAATATGACACTACCTGTTGGAATAATAGAGCGCTAAATTGAAAACACGTAAATAATATATTTTAAAAGTCAGGAATATATATATATCGAAAATTTCGTTAATATATCAAACAACGCGGACGAAGTCGCGGGTATCAGGTAGTTAAAAAGAATGTAATTTTATTGTCTACGTATATTATTAACTGTAAACCGTAATCTACCTCTATCATTATTTATTATTTACGAGCTTTCCATGCGATTTTATTCGCCTGGTATAAACCAACATGAAAATTATGCCCCAGGATCCTTTTACGAAATGAAAGTACCTATCCTATGTTCTACTCAGGTCGAGCTCTTATCGTGTGCAAAATTTCATTCAAATATCCAGTATTTTTTACGTGAAAGTCAATGATATTAAATACAAAAAGAAGGAAAACATAACATAAAAAGAGCTGTTAATGCAGGCAGTTTTGCACCTTTAAAGTATTTAGTTTACCACCATCTCCCCTCTAGTCGTGATAGGAATCTTCGATCTTGTTCATAAACAAGACTTTTATTTCTACTCATCTCACTAGGTTCTTTAGTAACTCTCTCACTTTTTTGATGTTCGATAATATCAGAAAATTTTATACTTACTTCCTTAAAAGTTGGTTCGAAGGCATTTTGAAGAATCACCAAACACTACAATATTGGTAGTTAATCGCAGTTATATGAATATTAATTACAAAAAGTTCAAAATAAGAGGAATTTAGATAACCAAGAGGGAGGGAGGAAAAAATCAAGTAAACAAGAATTTGATCAAAATTCGTGATTTATTATTTTAAAATTAGTCCAATTATTCACAAATATTCAATTTTGAAAAAAGTTTATCTCGTTTATGTTAACAATCAACAGGTCTGTACATGATAAACGCTTCAAATTATCGAGAGTAGGGAAGCCCAGACTTCAAATTATTGTATGTTGATGGGCAAGATACTATTCCTTCAACTTAAAATTACCGAGGCGACCAGTTAATATTGGTTTTATTCAATTTATCGAGTATCTATCCAGGGACCGGGAAAAAATTTCAAATTATCGAGATATTCAAATTAACGAGTGTCAAGTTATCGAGAGTTGTCTGTATTTATAATTGTTTTCTGTTTTTGCTACTTAAATTTGTATACAATAAAATTTTGTTAGTAAATTTGTTAATTACGATTTTCCGCTCTACTCGTAACTTATCACGTGCCCGACGACAAAGGAAAACCTCGCGAGTAAGGTCTTTTATTATTTTTAGTACAACTTCTCGCAAAAAGCCTATACAAAACTTTGTATATGATATTTTTGTCTATATAACAACATGCTACTATGATTTAAATTATATATTTATAGATAAGAGATTGAAAACAAGTCACGTTGATTCATTAGGACGTTAAAGTTTGGCCACAGATTACTAAATAGTTTACGAATGTTTGGTTGAGAGTATGATTGCATAAAGTCGCGAATAGTGTTTCAAAGTGATGAAAACAAGAACACAAAATAAACCTAATTGATTTGTATTTATCATTGCTCCCTTTGTTACGTTTTTGAAGTCAGTGGGCAAAAATAAATTCATTGAAACGGCAGAATTTACAAGGACTGAAATAATTCTTGAGAAAGAGTTCCTATCTACCTTTGAAAGAGTTGACGGAAATGTTAGAGGAAGAGATATTTAAAAATAAACGACTTTGGATAAGAAAATGTATAGACGACAGAAAAGAAACTAGAATTTCTGCTTTGTTGTTGACGCAACGTCACCGTACAATGCAGCGCCAGCGACTAAGTATAAGTAGTAAGTACTGTACTGACTTGGTTTGGTCGTTTAGACAAGATTAATAAGGTGGCGGGTCAAAATATTCAAGCAGGAATATTGAAGTCAACACTGGCGCGATAGCGCTGTACTGATTCCAAATCAACTTACACTATGTCAGTATCGGGCCTGGAATTTATAGCCAGTTACTGACCATGTGTAAATCAGCCATTGGAATCCGTGTCAAAATATGTATACGAGAAGTATGTATATTTAAGGTGACATGTTATTTAATAGTATCGTTTTCCTTTATTTACTTATGTTTTACAGTTATATTCAAATATGGTAAATACCACGCGAGGGAGTCTTATCTTCTTCTGTTGCCAAGCAACAGGTGCACTCTGTTTTAATCAGCATCAGCAGAGGTATACTATGAAGCAAGGCTGCGATATATGCATTATCATGGGAGTGATAAATATTTAAATGGACACGTGTCAGTTTATTAACAATTTCATTTCCTTGTCCGAGAAATAGAAACAAAAGTTAAACAATTGAAAAATTAAACATTAAACGATGGTATGACTCAGGGACAGTTAAAGGGTTAACAATGATAATATTCTCTAGGCGGAATTTCAATCACGGTGGTGAGTCTCAATGGAGACTAGCCATCTACGCAATCCAGGATTGTACAGATTAGACAAGCAATTGGATTGGAGGTTATCTTAGCTGAAACCCCCCTTAAATGATTTGTACCCCTTTAATAAACTGTTGCTTTATATTGCTTATTACACGATTCACTAAAATATTATACATGTGTATCATTTCCTACTTTATATTTGCATTAATTTGACCACTTTAGTAATAAGCATTATAATTATTAAGTGTTTTTTTTTATCGATATAAGGAATATTTATGAATAAAACCAATAAAACGACAATATTTAAAATAAAAAATTTGCAGGGATGTACGTCGGTCATGAAGAATTGCTACACGCCAGTGTGGAATGAGCAAATTGTTTTCACGGAAATGTTCCCGCCGTTATGCCAGCGGATCAAAATCCAGCTTAGAGACAATGATCCAGTGCATCCTAATGTCATCGGCACCCATTTCATTGATCTCAAAACCATCTCTAATGATGGAGAGAGAGGTATGTTTCTACTTGAACTTTATGTACATCTATATAAATACACCACACTAAAAGCAGATTTTAAAAATGTGTGTTAAATTTATACACATTCACATAACATTTGTACAAGTATACCTACTTAAAAGGATCACTTGTTTTTTTTTTTTTAAGAATAAGAGGAACAAGCGAGGACACAGTTCACCTAATGGTAAATGGATACTGTGGCACATAGATATCTACATCTATCGAAGATGCGTTGTAACCCCTGAGAACTAACATGGAATGCCTCATTTTCATTAAGCAGAAAGGATTTTGCAGTGTAGAGAACACGCACCATCCGAAACACAGTAGCATTATACTGCTATTTTACGCTGGTATTCCGTGAGAGCTGGATCCTTCTTGAAATGTCCATTGACTTATTTAACGAAACGGGGGAGGGGCGCTGCCCTCAACAGAATTGTCTGGTGCCTACCCCAGAATTAATTACTACGGTGTAAGAAGTGATACTCTTGAATTAATTATTTCATATTTAAGTAACACAACACAAAACGTTGTCCTTAACAGTATGAGCTCTTCCGGATCGATGGTACAAATGGGCGTGCCTCAAGGCTCAATTCTCGGCCCCTTTCTATTTCTTGTATACATTAATGACTTACCTTACATAGTAAGTGATAACCATGATATAGTGTTATTTTCTGATGACACTACTTTAATATACAAATTAAAACGACAATTACTAAGATATAACGAAGTAAATAATGCTATATTTAAATTAGTAAACTGGTTCAATGTTAATAATTTGCATTTAAATCGCACTAAAACGAACTATATGACATTCATAACCCCAAATGTAAAACAATTAAATACTAATGTAATTTTAAATGGGAGAAACTGAGTTTTGTCAATACCAGCATTTTTCTTGGAATCACACTAGACGCGAAGCTTCAATAGAGCCCCCATATATCAAAACTAGCAAGCAGGTAAGTTCTGCAGCATATCCTGTAAAAAAAATTGATATCTTTCCAGTGCCGAAACAGGTAGACTAGTTTACTTTAGCTATTTCCATAGCATAATGTCGTATGGTATTTTGTAATGGGACACGCGGCTGACACTGAAATTATATTTATTTTACAGAAGAAGACCATAAGAGTAATTTATGATTAAAAGCCTAAACTGTCGCTGCGAAAAAAAATTAAGAAAATTAATATATTAACTTTGGCCTCTCAATAAATTTATGAAAATGTAATATACGTACATAAAAATAAAAAGTAGTTTTACGAAAATAAGTGGTATTCATTCCGTAAATACTACGAACAGACACAGGCTAGCCGCACCAGTTACTCGACTCCACCGAGTCAGTAATTCATTCTTGGGGCGATGTATACGCTTTTACAACAAAATCCCAGAAAATATACAAAATTGATCAAAGTTCAAAAACTTTATTAAACTAAGTTTGTATAAATTGTTGAAATATAACGATAAATGTTATGTAAGTCGAAAAAATCTATCATCTGCGAGCTATTTTGGCGTGCTGTGCAAAAACTGTAAGAGTTACACAAATATAATGTATGGTGTAAGAATTACACAAATATAATGATTATTGATGGATCACCTATGATTGAAAGTATAATATATACGCGGATGAGGTCGCGGGCAAAAGCTAGTTCTAAATAAAAACGTTTCGCGAACAAATATTTGTATAATTTTATTTAAGTAAAGAAACACTTCGAAAATTGATGGCGAAAAATAGCTCAGCAGTTCAAGATGGAATTGCTTTTATTTCGTAAATTGGACTTTGGTTCAATTGGTCTTCGCTTTTGAGGGGCCAGTCTAGAAAGTAACCCTAAATATCTACATCAATGAAAATGTTAGGCAGTCTGCTTTATAATGGCAGACAATGATAACAAAGTTTTTGGTTTTTATTAATTTATTATACCAATTGTTACTGCTACTGCTTCTTATACTGCGTTTAAAACAAAATATTTTTCTATAGGCTTCTTACCAACATTTGGTCCAACTTACATTTATCTGTACGGGTCTACACGAGACTACAGCATCATTGATCAACATTCAAACCTAAACACGGGTATGGGAGAGGGTGTTTCTTACAGAGCAAGGTAACAACACTTTCGATTATACATTTTGCGCTTAATAAGTAACACTGTATTGACTGAAAACTTTGCATAATATATTTGTAAATAATTGATTCAGAAAGCAGATTTTTACTTACTACCTACTGACTGACAAGAGAGACGTTTTTAATATGTCATATAATTGCCCATGTATAATTACAAAAGCTATACTTAATGCATGTTACGATCAGTCATTGAATGAAATAGTATTACTCTGCATTTGAAATAAGTCAGTTTCCGATCAGGTTGTCAGATTAAAAAAAGTGTTTGTATCATTTCGAGTTACGCCATCGTAAATTATTTCAGAGGGAGAAATAAATAAAATGAATGCAATTAATATAATATTATATTTTACTTAATACTCTGTTGCCTGTTATTTCTATTGTGGACAACAAAAATTGATGTAAGTAACAAAAAAAGTATGAATTCATAGCACTGTCCTTTATACAAGTAGGTAGTTAGGTCCATTTTTGAGTTTAAAAAATATATTTAATATATTCTTAAATTATAACATGTTAAATTAAATCAAATATTAAAAACTATGATAAAAAAAACTAAAACTAGAAACTTAATTATCATATAGTCCTACTCCCCGCGGTATCGTGCCAAGAACGCTGACTGCGTTTCCCCGCTGAATGGCTATGTTAATTAATGATAATGTCTTGTACTGATTGTTCGATAAAGTTTTACTTTCTTCTACTACCCACTAATATTCAGTTACTGTTACACCAAAAACGGACACCGCAACCGATATCAAAATTAATTTTATTAAATGATGCGTAGGTACTTAGTCGTAACTCTGAAAGGTCCTAGAAAAATGAATGTAAAATCAAAAGTAGGTATTGACCATTATTGACATAGAATTATCAAAACTTAAAGAAGAGGATTATAGTTTTATATTACTAAATTTAATTATACATTTTTTTGTGATTGAAATGATATTTATGTTTAAATTTGGAACGCTATATACGCGGAACAATGTTTTTTTAAGTTAATCCAGTGTTAAATATTGGGCTCCATTTATTACTTCATACAAGTTAAGCAAAGTTATCGAATAAATTATTTACAGAATTCTGATATCAATTCGCACCGAGATTATGGATAGCATAGAATGCCCAGCTTCAGAAGTAGAAGTTGAACCGATAGCTCCTATTAATGAGACATCATTTGGAAAGAATGAAGAATTTTTTCTCTTTGGTAGTATTTTTGACGCTAACATGATCGATAAACGCCTTGTCGATAAGCCGTTGCAATTTGAACTAAGTATCGGTAACGCTGGTAATTCACTCGATGGACTTAATGAGTCGGTCAAGAGACCTCACGATTTGGATTGTGAACTTGGTATGTACAAATTTAAAAAGACAACTTTTTATTTATTATATTTTAAGCGAATCAAAACCTATCATATCTGTGATAATATTTTTTTAAATATTAGTGACAAATAAATTAATCGTTCTAGTAGTGGAACTAGTTCTAGTAACAGTGCTAGTTTTAGGTTAGTAGCAACTAGTGACCATGGCAGTTGGCCTAGCTTCCTGCAGTCACTTCGAACAAAAAGCCACAAATGCGTAGACACCCCCGAAGAGCTTGATGGCACTCTTACACTTCAAACTGCAGCACAACTGTTTTTCCAGCATTTCTGCTAAGCGGGAGAAATACGTGGCTTACACTGAAAAGTTTTGCGTAACTCATTAATGAAACAATTTATATGTAAACTAATATTCACTGCTTTTTTATCCATTCTCCATTACATTTTAAACACTTTTTCATTTGTTCAAACCATTTTTAAAACATAATGACCATTGCACTGACGACATGTTTTATACTTGCCGATTGAAAGCTATCACGGCCCGTCAAAAATTATCAATATTTTATGTGTTTCTTATATTTTAAAAATATGACATTCGAAATTCGAACATTTAAGAGCAGCGGAGTGCCATTTTCAGTGTGCCCTACGCAATTAAAAGAGTGGTAATAACTACTACCTTGACTCCTAGACAAGGAAGGAGCCCTACAATCTAGAAATTATCGTTTTCATCAGCAATCTGTTGATCACTTTTGTAAAGAATGTCGATAGACTTGGTTACCGGCAATCACAATATCAGATGCCCCGCTCCTCTGACGCTACTTTATCCCGCCTGGGTATTTTATATACGGCATATACGACATGTAGTACCAACATCTATCGGGATGCATGAAATCTTTCTGAAATTTCCCATTGTTATCTCTTACGACTTGGGTTGTCGTAAGAGATGACAAACAAACAATCAAAATCGGCTGGTAGATTCTCATATGCCGCCACCTTAAGGCAATAAATATATTATTCAGTATTATTATTTAACATGATGTTATTTTTTTAAACGTTTTATATTACTTTAACATTACTAACAGTCTAGCGACGAATAAAAGAAAGATATTTTTTTTTATAATTTGTTAGGACTTTGACTTACTACGCGCATTTGAACCAAACAGTTTGCTTCATCGTTTGTCATGTTTACCTAGAGCAAAAGACCGGAATAAGTTGCCAGCCTCTGCCTTTCCATCCGATAAAAATGCGGGTGTCTTTAAGGCAATAGTGATTAGGTTTGGTTAAGTTTAGTCACGTTTACAGGTTTACGCACCAACCTCGGCACACCCCGATTAGGAGGTGGAGGAAATGTATGAGGATATCTCTATAGCCATGCATTCCTCCAAAACCCAATATACGGTGTTAATGGGAGACTTCAATGCAAAACTAGGCAAAAGAGAGAACGGTGAGCTGAAAGTGGGGAAATTTGGAATAGGGAAACGGAACCCAAGGGGTTCTCAAGGGGGTCTTCATGGAGAAAGAGGGACTCTTTATGATGAACTCTTTCTTCCAGAAGCGGCCCCACAGGAAGTGGACCTGGTCGAGCCCCGACGGTTCGACAAAAAATGAGATTGACTTCATTATGACGACCAGACGACAACTGTTCAGTGATGTCTCAGTGATCGCGAGGGTGAAAACCGGCAGCGATCACCGAATGGTTAGAGTCACACTGAACCTAAACGTTAAGTTGGAGAGGTCTCGTCTAATGAAGTCAACGCTCCGTCCCCCTCGTGCTCTAATCCAGAGTCCCGAAACCTTTCAGCTCGAGTTACAAAACCGTTTTCAGTGCCTAGAAGACTGCAATGAAGTGGACGATTTGAATGACAAGCTCATGGAAATTGTCCATGTGGTCGGAGCTAAGTTCTGCAAGACCCGCCGCAGAAGAACACAAAAACTCTCCGATCACACTCTTAATCTCATGGCTGTTAGACAGGAGATGAAGCTACATTCTTCAACAGATTTGACAGCATACAGGCAACTGAACAGACAGATCTCCAAATGCATGCGGCGGGACTTACGCAACTTCAATACAGCTCGTATTGAAGAAGCGATCGAGCGGAACCAAGGCTCCAAAGTATTTGCCAGAGATCTGTCTGCCAGAAAGAGCCAACTGTCAAAGCTGAAGAGCGAATGTGGCAGCATCGTTTCCGGGGCACCTGAGATTTTGAGTGAGATTGAGAGGTTCTATGGGCAGCTGTACACGTCATCGTTGGAGCCGTACGCAAGTGTGAGTAACGATCCAAGAGCGAGTCTTATCCGACATTATTCCGATGATATCCCGTACGTCAGTCTGAGCGAGATTAGAATGGCTCTCCAGCACCTTAAAAACGGAAGGTACCCGGGTGAGGATGGAATTACAGCGGAGCTTCTGAAAGCGGGTGGAACACCGGTATTTGAAGTCCTTCAGAAGCTCTTTAATACCGTTCTCCATGGTGGCATTACACCGGAGGCGTGGAGCAGAAGTGCGGTGGTCTTGTTCTTCAATAAAGGTGCCAACGCTCTCTTGAAGAACTACAGACCGATTTCCCTTCTGAGCCGCGTCTACGTGCTGTTTTCGAGAGTTATTACGAATCGTCTCGCGCGCATACTTGACGACTTCCAGCCTCCCGAACAAGCCGGTTTCCGAAAAGGCTTTAGCACCATAGACTACATACATACCCTTCGGCAAATTGTACAGAAGTCCGAGGAGTACAATTTGCCACTATGTCTAGCGTATGTGGACTATGAGAAAGCCTTTGATTCCGTCGAAATTTGGGCGGTGCTGCAGTCCCTTCAGCGATGCCAAGTTGAGTGTCGGTATATCGAAGTGTTGAAGTGCTTGTACAGTAGGGCTACGATGGCTATCCGAGTACAGAACCAGAGTACGAAACCTATCCAATTGCAGAGAGGTGTAAGACAGGGTGACGTCATATCCCCGAAACTCTTTACCGCTGCATTGGAAGATGTTTTCAAGCTTCTGGACTGGAAAGGATACGGTATCAACATCAATGGCGAGTACATCACTCACCTTCGATTTGCCGACGATATAGTCCTTATGGCAGAATCGCTGGAGGACCTAAGCACTATGACTGATATGACCTCAATAGTGTTTCCCAATGGATAGGTCTTAAGATGAACATGGACAAAACAAAGATCATGTTTAATGTCCATGTCACACCTATGCCGGTAGTTGTTAGGAACACTAAGCTCGAAGTTGTTGACGAGTATGTTTACCTGGGACAAATAGTCCGACTAGGTAAGTCCAACTTCGACCGAGAGGTCAATCGACGGATTCAACTCGGTTGGGCAGCGTTCGGAAAATTACGGCACATCTTCTCGTCAGGTATACCTCAAAACTTGAAAACGAGACTGTACACCCAGTGCGTGTTGCCAGTTGCCAGACATATGGAACTGAGACATGGTCCTTCACTGCTGGCCGGATGAGGAACCTCAAGGTCGCTCAGCGAGCTATGGAGAGGGCTATGCTCGGAGTTTCTCTGCGTGATAAACTCAGAAATGAGGATATCTGCAGTAGAACCAGAGTGACCGACATAGCCCAACGTATTAGTAAGCTGAAGTGGCAATGGGCCGGCCATATAGCTCGAAGAACCGACAACCGATGGAGAAGAAAGTTCTCGAGTGGCAGCCTCGTACCGGCAGGCGAAGTGTAGGGCGTCCCCCCACTAGATGGAGTGACGACGAAGTCGATGGATGCAGGTGGCTCAGGACCGTGCTTTGTGGCATTCTTTGGGGAAGGCCTATGTTCAGCAGGGGACTTGTGAAGGGCTGTAATGATGATGATGATGATGAAGTTTAGTCACTGCGCTTTATCATCTTCGGCTACACCACTTACCATCAGGCTACTATAGTCAAGCACTGGTTTAGAATAGTTAAAAATAAATAATACATTAACGATACAAAACACTGTTCCATACGCTTCAAAAATTGTTATCACATAGGTTAATTAATATTCTTTGATATTTCAGATGAATTAAGTGCCGATACAGGGTACTGGCAAAGTGTTACTCAACCAACTAAAGCGACTTCAGTAGATAAGAATTATTACTTTCTTCCATACTGGGATCATAAACAGTGCATGCACGTGCGCAGCATTTGGCCCGATCATCGCAGACGCATGTACAACTCCAACATGATTTCGAATATCGTCGAGAAATTTGTAAATATAAAATATTTTTTTATTTCAATGCGTATAATAATTTGAAATGATTGTACTGGAACTTCAATCACAGAATTTGTTTAAAATTTAACATAAAAGCATATGTTTTCAAATCTTGCATTAAACTATTACATTAAAGTACAACGTACATTATATTTATACTTATTGAAAATTTCCGAAAATCTGGGTATCATTGTGGCATTTATCGTGTCTGCTAATTACATGCATTTTTAAATGCAACAAAAGTATTATGTTATGTTATTATATGTTTGTTAAATTTTCGTATACAGGAAGAGGGGTTGGCAGATGCTCAAATGGCAATTGAGGCTGATAGTGGACCAGATAGTACAAGTGTGGCAGCACTCAAATCTGTTCTGGAATCCATTAGCAACGATTGTGCTGCTTATGTTCGCCACATGAGTGGCGCTCCACCCATCGGCAATACTAAACTTGATCGGGAGAGACTTAAAATGTGTGTTTACGAAATGGTAAGTTAATAAACTCTTTTAAAATTCAATTTTATATTAATAATTTAGATCGTAAGATTAAGCTATCTTTGTATACAGGATCAGATAAGTGCTTTGACTAAAAATCTAAGGGCACTCATTACGAAACATTCTATCAAAGACCGCATTCGTAGTGCTTGCGATTATTTGAAGAGACTTAAACATATCTGCGAAGATGTGAGTGGTTAACATTTCCAATTATTGACTAATGATAAATAATATTTTCTGATATTTCAATATTTTTTCTGCTTTAGTCGCAGCCAGCAATGCCTGATGTGTTTCTATGGATGATAAGTAACGGGAAGCGTTTAGCTTACTACCGAATTCCAGCCAGAGATATTATTTTCTCTGGAAATTCTGAAGAGTCTGGCAAATTCTGTGGGAAAATGCAGACACTGTTTCTAAAGGTAAAATAAATAAGTATTTCTACATAATTTTTTTCAAGATTTAATTATTGTTAATTTTTCACGCAGCTTTGCTCACATGGATCGGCATAGCAACATTAAAATAACGTTACCACACCCTAGAATTTTCTGCTGTAGCGTGGAGGCAGTTTAAATACATAAATTTACAAGGGCAAACATCCAGACCCGGAACAATCATTAGTAGGCCATACAATATACAAATAATTGTTCCGTGCGGATTCGAACCCGCCGCCCTCAGCGCCGCAACTTATTGCTAATCACGAAATCGTGGCTTTTGTTGTATTTTAATTATGTCTTCCTGTCACCTTCGCACCTTCAAAAGTATCGTACCAAAATCTCTAAAATCACGAGTATAGATTAATAAGGTATATATATTTAAGATAAATTAGATGTCATATTGTTTGTTTACTTTTTCTGTTTTCTTTTTATTTATTTATTATGAGAAAATAATGTATCCAGGCATTGTATTAAATCCATATTATTGACCTTATTGATTGATACTATAGTATCAATATATAATAATATAATACGGACAGTATTGTATACAATACAGTCCGTATTTCATGTGTTGATTCTCGGCTCAGAGAAGTAACATTTCATGTTCATGTGCATGCAGTTTTACTTCTACCAGATTACCGGAGTGAATTAGAGTTTTTTTTATAGAATAGAGGTGACGAATGAGTCCGCCTGATGATAAGTGGATGTAGTGGACTTGTCACCCCCAAGGACTAAGATGCCTCAATTCCAGTAATGCAAACTAATATTCCCCGTTTTCAGTAAAAAGGATCCCCGGTTCTCTAAACTCACCATACGAAACACAGCAACATTGAGGTCCTATTTAGTGAGTATGTTTTTACGAGCGTCTTCCAATGCACGCACACAAGCGAGAGGTTCTCTTGCAGTAGCATACAGAGAAATTAACGCGATATTTAGTATTACCAGTGTTGCCGATTTGTGGGGAATTCCCCAAACTGCGGGGAATCTCAAGTTGATTGAGGATTTATTGGGGACTGGCATTCTGCGGGGAAAATGCGGGGATTGTAACATCTTACTACTTAACTACTTTCGCAAGAATTCCAAACATTTTAATAAATTTTTTAGTTTAGTTACTTAAGGATAACGGACGACTTACTCTTCATTGCGCCAAATTTAAATTTCGGCATCTTTATTCTTTCGCCAATCGTAAATTTTTTTTGTGTATCTTATAATATTTTTAGGGTTTATACATTTCTTTCTACAGATTTCGTGTTTATTCCAAATTTATTTAAAATACTTTGGCAACACCTAGTGGCTATTGTGAATATTAATACAGAATTTTCATGGAGTTATATAGTTTGTGGTTCAGTTTCTTCTTTTTATCAGTAGCAGTATATTCCATTAAAAGCCTACTTGACAGAAACAGTCTTCTCAGATCCGTTGAAGACTACCGAAGAAATGCAATTAGCATTTATTCATGAACAACCAATTCACTGTGGTATATTTGAAATTCATGCCTTACGTACTTGCACTGGTAACATAATTCAATGTATTATTTTAATCAGAAACATCCCTTCTTCACAAATTGAAACCAGAAGTTGAAAACCTCTTGAAAACATTGTCTTCTAATTTCATGAAAATTAGCTATGTCAAGTCCTGTGCTAATATTTTAAATGCAGACTTCAAAAATCCAATACATTTTCTAAGTTTTAACAAAATATATAAGGCTGGAGAAAGAATGGAAAATTTAAAAAGTGACGAAAATGTACCTCGTGCTGCTATTGCAGATTTCTATAAAACCTGCCAGGAGTTTTATATTGAACTGACATCAGACATTACCATGTGATTTGAGTTCGGGGATTCTTTATTTTCTATTATATCCGCTGTAAATCCATCAGAAGCTCAACATTTTTTGTGTTTTATAAATTTGTGACCGCACAAAAATTAGATGACGAGTGGCAAACTCGGCCTTTGTTAGATTTTGATCAACATGAGCTTGAAATTCACGGAGATAACATCGAAGCGAAAGTTACTGGGGTAAAGCGTTTCGCCTTAAAAATGCTGCGGGAGAACACATTTCCAAACATAAAAATTGTTACGTCTTTGTGGCTCATACTGCTATTTTCAAACGCATCGGTTGAAAGAAAATTTAGTGCGCTTCGATATTTAAAAACAGAAAACCGCAATCGGCTAAATACGGATACTGTAGTATCTTTAATGGCAACAAAAGAGGGGTTAAAAAAATTGGGCGGCAGTGTCAAGTTTAATAATATTTCGAGCAAAATGCTTGCATCGAACGTATGAAAAAAGGTTAAAAAATAAATTTTATTTAAATAGTTTAAACTTGTTTCACTGATTAAAATAATATTGAGGGGAATTTGTGGGGAATCAGCAGATTTTTGTCCCCAAATTTGTGGAATTTTATTCGGCTTTTTGGGGAATTACATACATTAGGATTGGCAACCCTGAGTATTACTGACACGACGACTTTCTCAGTCTGCTACTGTAGGTGAACGCCGCGCTCGTGTACGTGTGTTGAGATGATATGAAGCTTCTAAAGTACATACTCACGTTCACCTTGATTCTACTCATCTTCAAATACACACACAATATAAATAGGGTTATTTTTCAAAGAGTAGCCAAATTTTAAAATTAAGTTCAAATATAAAAATAATGATACACCGTTATTGCAATTTTTAAAAATACCAGTAAATAAGGCTTTTACTTTTATTTGAATTTATCCCAAATTGAATGTTATTTATATGTATGAACAACAACGTTTTTTCCTACCGATCGACCCTTACGAATGTGTGCGAGCGCAGTAAAATCAGTTAAAATAATGCATTACCTCGCATTTTGAATTTAAAAGATAAAAAGGACAGAATTTTTGATTTTTTTTTTAAATTAATTTTTCCTCTCATTTTGCCTATATTACTTATTCCTGACCTTCTCTGCAAATTACCCTGTATAATACCTATGTGTAAATATATGTATTTTAGTTTGTTTAATATTATATTACGATGTTGCTAAGAATTAAAGTTTCTTACACGTCAGTGTTTAGTCAGCGAGACAAACTGTAATCCTTGATTTTAGTGGCCCGGAAAAAAGGCAACCACATCTAGTGGATGGACCATTCCAGCTATGATTAGAATATTCCTCTGGTTAGGGGTCTTGCAAGACAAAAAGCATTATATTGACGGTCTTCCTCAAGGTTTTGAAATTAGTTCAGAGCTACGAAATGCTGAGAAACTACGATCAAACGCTCCGAATACTATATTTTATGCAACAAAACACGTAAGTAAAATTGAATTTTAAATTATGATATTATATACATCTTTAAAAGCACTATAAAATTCATTTCATTCCAGAACTTTCAAATGCGGGCATATATTTATCAAGCTAGATCTTTAATTGGTTCAGACTCCTCTGGTTTGTCTGATCCTTTTGCCAGAGTCATAATTGGAGATAGTACTTCAACCACTCAAGTAATAGATGAAACTTTAAGTCCTACTTGGGATGAGCTACTTGTATTTGATGACATATTATTATACAGTACTATTGAACAAATTAAAGCAGACCCACCCACAATTGTCATAGAAATATTTGATCAAGATAAAGTTGGTAAATCAGAATTTATCGGACGTACATTAGCTAAACCAGCGATCAAGTCCTTTGAAGATAGTTATGAAAGACCACAATTTCCACCATCTTTAGAATGGTATGAAATTACTAGAGGTGACGATAGAGCGGGTGAACTATTGGCAACTTTTGAATTGCTTGAGATTCCACCCAAACAAGATGCATCCATTTTACCGGAGCTTCCTTCTCCAAGAGTGCCTAGTGGAAAGCCTCCATTTGATACGAATAAAGGCCCTATATTGCCAGTACCGAGAGGGATACGTCCAACGCTTTCGAAGTATCGCATTGAGGTCCTATTTTGGGGCTTACGTGATTTGAAACGCGTTCATTTGCTAACAGTCGATAAGCCGAGAGTTGACATTGAGTGTGCAGGAAATATTATATATTCTACTGTTATACAAAATGCTCAACGTAATCCAAATTTCATAAATCCTGTGAAATTTGTAGATGTAGAATTGCCGGATCAGAATTTGTATAGACCACCGTTGACAATTCGAGTAGTCGATTGCCGCAGTTTTGGTAGAATAACATTGGTTGGAACACATATCATTAATTCCATTCATAAGTATATATATACACCAATGAGTAAGCGTGAAAGGGAAATTGAAGAGCGAAAAAAATCTTTAATCCAACTGGAAAACATAGATCTGCGTGGAAACTGTTTAATTCAAGACGATATTTTTACAGTTGAAAACGAAAAAGAAAGCTCTCCACTCTTACTACGTAGCGATCGTTATAATGTCTCATATGGCTCTAACATAAAATTAGGAGCTCGCAAGAAAATTATTAAGCGTGAAACTGGTAAGAAACGCAAAGCTAGCAGTGAGTCAGTATTAGACGATGACGAAAGTAGCAAAGATTGGTGGACAAAGTATTTCGCTTCTGTTGAATCAATGATTGAAGAAGAAAAGGAAGCAAAAAGAGAAAGGGGCTGTTTCCTCCGGGCGCCTTTGTATTCAAGTGCAGATGATAATAAATGCACTCGCGAAGACTGGCGTTCATCGCAAATACAACATGGACGCTATAAACGACAACAGTTTCAGTCTCCTAGAACAAAATTAAGTCCTATAATTTCAAAGAAAAATGAAATACCAAGATCAGCTTTGACTAAGGTATTTTATTCATACGAGTAGTCTTGCAAATTAAACTTCTTTCAGTCTACAATAAATCTTATTACCTCTTATTTCGTCAGGTTTATCCTCATGAGTTGGAAGCGGTACCAGAATATGAGGAATTTAAAGAGTGGTTACATTCATTTGAATTGTACCGAGGAAAAAAGACTGGTGATGACACCGAAGATGAAAACCGTGTAGTCGGTGTTTTTAAGGTAACAAAACAACTTTTTTTATACAATAGTTCTACAACTCGCCGATAGGAGGCCATGCCTATTACTTTTTTATCACCAACACTTTCATCTGTTCCTTCTTGTTTCAGGGTGCAATAAAAGTTTACAAATGGCCCATACCAAAAGGAATCGACGATCACACTGTGATGGGATTTGATCCAAACCATGGATTTTTCCAAGGAGTCCCAAGTAACGAACCAATCCGTGTTTTAGTTAGAGTTTATGTAGTGAAAGCCACTGATTTACATCCAATGGACTTGAATGGAAAGGCTGACCCATATATTGTATTGCATATGGGCTCTAAAAAAATAAGTGATCAAGAAAATTACGTGTCAAAACAATTAAATCCGATTTTTGGAAAATGTTTTGAAATCGAAGCGACATTTCCACAGGACTCCTTGCTGACGATTCAAGTTCTTGATTGGGACTTGCTTGGATCTGACGATTTGATTGGGGAAACAAAAATTGATCTCGAAAATCGATTTTACAGCCGACATAGGGCAACATGCGGACTGCCAAAGAAATATGAAGAGTACGTACACCTACTTGCTTATCTTTAAATCTAAATTTCTCAGTCAGAGACAAAGAGATAGTTATAGCTATGTTATAGATATAATCTTGAAAACTAACAATATGCATTTTGCTCGTGTAGTAGCTCGAATAGCTGTGGCTACTGGCTAACTCAGGAGCGGTACTATGAAGTTAATGGTGTAATAGTAAACTCATAAATGATATCTTTATGTTGTGAAGTTTTAAGATTTTTTTTATTAATCGAAATATTTTATGAATTTTTGAATTAAGAACTAAAATAAGAGAAATGTTTTAGGCAAGGTTATAATAAATGGCGCGACGCGATGAGACCAACCCAAATTTTAGCGAAGCTTTGCAAGGATGGAAAATTGGATCCACCGATTTACGAGCATGGACGAGTCAAAATCGGACGCACTATATTCAACATGCCAATGGACGACATTGAACTCTTATCCAACCCTGATACAATTGAAGAACAAATGGCATTGGTTGTTCTTCACCGTTGGCAAGAAGTACCGCGTGTTGGCACACATCTGGTTACTGAGCATGTTGAAACCCGACCTTTGTATAATCCTAAAAAACCAGGTACGAATAATTTGTTTCCCTTTTTTCCTCATATCTCACAAAATATTTTGTTGTTATGATCTTTTGAAAGTTACTAACTGTGCAGAAAAAATTATAGTGCAAAATTGTACGTAAGGCAATAAAGGCAATGCCAAAACGCATTAGATACTACGGCGGACTCTCCCTTGCCATACAACTCACTCAGAAATTTTATTAATATATTTACTCAAAATTTAAATTAGGGTGAAGTCACCAATTATCAGCACTAAGAAAATGTTCATTTTCAAATAGTGGAAATAAGTAAAAAAAAAAGAAAAATATTTCATCACGAGATAGGTATTTGGTTTACCAGTGAATAAATATTTTAGAGAAACCATTTTTTCTTCGAATTTCATACATTTATTTCATTCTATGGTGCTTTAATCAAAATAACGCCTATTCCCCAATTGATAGCAGTACAATTACCAATTACTAGCACCCATTGACCTATTTATTGGCATAGTTTTTTAAATCGTAAAAACACTTAAAATAAACAAATAAAATAGGAGATACTTGGAATTATTACATAAACACACATTTTAATGCAGTAGAAAAATCATTTATTTGCAAAAGTAAAAGCTCTATTACATTATATGTAGTTTTCTTTCTTATATCATAAGCCATAACTATTCATCTGCGAGTATCTTTTCTAGCTCTTCTATTGTGTACGATTTCTTTTTATTTTCAATAATTTTATCAAGAAAATGTCTTACAGTTTCTGCTTTACTTTGGAAATCCCTTGCCACTACTTCAAATTTATTAACTTCTTTAATTTCAATGTTTTTCTCTAAAGGAATATTAATGGTAACATCAGATAGAACAGTTATTTGTTTTTCTGGTGGGAATTTGCTCTTCTCTTCTTTGATACTATTTTCGTTTTTGCTGTTTTTCGCTTTTACTGTAGTTTTTACCTCACGTTTTTTTTCTTGTTTTCTTCTTGTTTTTGTATTCTATCTTGTTTTCTTTTTTTTATCTGTTGTTCTTTTAGTTTCTTTTCATTGCATTTCTCAAACTCTTTTTTAAACTACTCATTAGATGTTAAGACAAAAGATGGCCTTTGTATATTTCTGACAACTTTCCTTTGAGGCGTTTTTTGCTTCGGCAGAACATCTTGTATTTTAATCGGAGTTGTTTCGATAATATTTCCCTTCAGTTGAGGTACTCTCAAGTCATCAATTACTTGACTAAAACATAATATTTCAGACTCATTTTCAATCAAAAAGTTTTCTTTATTAATAGAGACTAGTTGATAGTAAGCGTTTGTTCTGTCGGATTGATCAGGTATGTTATGTATCTCAACCTGGTGTACAACTTCAACATGAACATTCATATCATCAATGAACTCTATAGGCAGATTTCGTATGTCTATGTTTTCTGGAAGGCATTCCATGGTGTTTTGTGTTGCTTTTTCTGACTGCTTGAGATCGTAACTTGTGTCCCTGCTAAAAATACATGCAGATTTGTTTTAAAATTTTATCAGCGCCAAATAAGCTCTCCTCTGAAGTAGCAAGCAATGATGTTTTTTTACCGTCAACGATCAAATAAAAAATGATTCAGCAGTCAGCACCTTTTGTGAAACATGATCTTTGCTTGATGCTGGAGTTTCATCCAAACATTTTTTTAAATCTATGGAATTCCAATTCCACGGACATAAACCCGTTACTCTGAAGGCGTTTACGATAGTTGTACTTTTTATACCTGTCGAAAAAATAAACAGCAATATATATCAAGTAAGTACTTACAGAACATGTTTAACTAAACTAATATATTGAAGTAAACATACCTTTATTTAATGCTTCTTTTAATACTGGAACAAAGTCGTTTTTTGTGTAGGTTTCCAGTGGATTATCTCTTCTACAGCGAAGGACGCTCTCTTTCCAAGCTACCTTTAAAGGTCGGAAAGCAGCAACGTCTGCTGGTTGCAGAAGTATCGTTGCATTTGGATAAAGTGCAATCAGTAATATGTCGAGGCTTCTGCAAAGTTCACTTATCTCTATGGTCAAGTGAGTCTTGTGTCCATCTACAAATAATATAACAGGAAAATTTCTTTTAGTTTTTTTCAAGTATGGGTGGAAAACGTTTTTTATGTAATCATAAAAAAGCTCTGCTTTCATCCATCCAGTGTCGCTAAGTCCAATTCCCCAGTCCCCTGGAACTTTAGAAGTTAACTCCTTCGGCAGCCTTTTATTTGGAAAGACTACTAAGGGTGGTGTGACATCACCATTTGCCCCGAATGTAAATAAAACCGTTAACGATGATTTTTCAGGCGCATTGTTGACTTCGTAGACGTCTTTGTCACCTTTAATAGCTAAAACTTTGCCACTTTTGGGACACAATTGAAAATTTGACTCATGACCGTTGAATACTCGTGTAGGGTCATTAAGGATACTAAAATATTGATTGTCTTTCAAGTATTCTTCAATTTTTGTAAACCCCCCTTTAATATCTTGTTCAGAAACTGCTGCACCCGCCGCAGTGACGGGTTCAGAAGTACGTTCTGTTAATTGTGGGTGTCTTTTCAAAAAAAGGCTGTACCACTTCTTACCCGGAACCCCATTCTTAAAGGGATTATGTCTTCCAGATTTCTTTACAAAGTTTGCGACACTAAGTTGAAGGTCAATTCTTCTCCTTGGATAGCCTTTTCTACAGCATTCGTTTACCCACTTTACAAGTATATCTTCCTCATCTGAAGTTGAAACAGGACTTGGGCCTGGCAGGTCTTTTAGATCATTTCTCAATCTTGATTGGATTGTCCCTCTCGGAACATTGAAAGTTTTAGATGCAAGTTTTTTTGACATGCCATTTTTTTCAGCTTCTAGGGCTTGTATTAAGTTTACTTTCCATATTTTTTTCTTTTTGTATTTTCTTTCTTCTTTTCCACTTGCTTCTTTGTTTTCATTTTAATTGTGTACTAAAACAGAAAAATCCAATTAACGGCATAGACAGTCGCCAATTATCAGCACTATGCTGATAATTAGCAATGCTCGTATCAGCACCATGCTAATATTTGGAAAACGGTATTTAATAAATAAATAAATGGACGGAAATCAGTTAACAGCAATCATAGAGCATAAAATCAAATACAAATATATTATTTATTTCCTACTTATCAAACCCAATTATCCGCACGGGTGCTGATAATAGGAAAAACCTACAAAATAGGAACCATATGCTAGCACCCGACTTTTTTTGATTAATCGACAACTTAACCTAAAAATATATTTAAATTTATGTAGACAAATCACTCTCGAAATCCTCGAAACCAAAATAACACAAATATAATAAAACCTTTTCATGGTTTAAGAAGATAATAAATCACAAGAACTTACCGTCACCCAATCAAAATGGCCGAAATTTTTTACCTTACGTGTGTAAGGTAAAAAATTTCGACCATTTTGCAATAAGTAGTTACCTGTGTGTACAGGTAACTAACTACTTATTTATTGCAATCGTCACGCCATCTTATTTTTTTTAATGTTTCTAGCTTACATAACAATTTGATAAATTTAAATCCGATTTTTTTTCACGTAGCAATTTAAATTCAACGACAACTCTTATAATTCGTATTTTTTTTGTGCAGTGCTGATAATTGGTGTAGTGCTACGAATTAGATACAAACCCTACATTAATTAAAACAAGTAGAATTATAAATATTACATAATTTGTAATTCTACTTGTTTCTATCGCATTTTTGGCTAAACTTCCAAGTAGCTCGCTACTCTTTGGACACGACCAACCTCTCGGTGATTACAGGCGTGACCTTTTTTATATAGGAGAGTGGGCAAACGAGCATACGACTCACCTGATGGTAAGCGACTACTGCGGCCCATGAACAACTGCAACGCCAGGCAAATTGCAGGTGCGTTACCAACCTAAGCTCTTTTCTTGAAGGTCCCTAAGACGTATCGGTCCAGAAAAATCGCCAGTGGTAAAATATTCTACAGAGAGGTCGTACGAGGAAGAAAATTCCTAGTAAAACGTACTGTTGTGTACCGCCAAACATGCAGATGGTGTGGATAATATCGGGAGTTTTGCCACGATGTGCATTCGTAAAATTATTCTGAACAATTCCTCAAAGCACTCGTTGTGGTAGATGTGAAAGGAAATGTAAAGGGATGCAACGTCTCTTCGGAGAGGACCAGGTCATCGCCGATTCGAGGCGCTCTGCGATGGATGCGGTCAAGTGGAAGGAGCTGGCACTGGAAAGCCTCAGCCCAAAGATGGGAACAGTGTTCCATGTGAGACCGAACCTGCGTCTTGCAAAGTTGTAGGCGAAGTGCCGGCATTAAATATTGTCCAACCCGTTTTGGCCTTCTCTTCCAAGTGACCAAGAAACTGCACATTATTCAATATTTTGACGCTGAGGATTCCGATACTGGCTGAGGCAAGAAGGGGAGTGCCTTGAAACTGAGGAGATACGACAAAGGGGTTATTTTTAGCGGTAGACGCGCAAACTTGTGTCTTCTGGGAATTGAACTGGATTATATTTAGTCACTCCCAACCCGAGAGTTTGTTCAGCAAAGACTCGATTTCAGACATAAGTTTGCTCCGGTACTTGGCGACGTTTTCCCGAGAAATATTGGCACGGCCGGTGTATAGAGCATCACCAGTGCTGTCATCTGCATAGCAATGAATGTTACCGGTTAGCAACATATCATTGATATACAGAAGAAACAGCATTGGTTATAGCACGCAGCCTTATTGAACACCAGCATTAATAGTTTTGTTATCAGCATGCACTGTTTACTACGACCTTGATGCTCGTGATCAAGTTGAACAATTTCTCGGAAATCCTATGGGAAGGAGCGTCGAAAGAAGCGTTTTGTGCCAAACCCGATCGACCAGGCCTTCGCAATGTCCAAGCTAACGGTCAATGCCTCCCCGTTGGACTCTACTGTCTATGCCCATCTGAGTCAGGTAGACAAGAAGAGTACCAGGTGACCTCGACGAAAACTATTGGCGGTCACTAATCAGCTGGTGAGCCTCAAGGTGCCGCATGAGCTGGCAGTTTATAATGGAATCCATTATTTTAGAGAACAAAGAGGTGATGACGATATGCCTGTAGTTACTAGCTAACCCTCCTAAGACGGGTCTGAGTGGTCACCTTTCTTAGGAGTTGGGTGGACGAAAGCTGTCTTCCATGAATTCGGGACTACGCCTAGGGAGTAGGAGTATCGGAAAACACGCTAGAACGTAACGTTAGAACCGGTGCTAACTCTGGAGCACACGTTCTCAACACAATCTGGAGGTTTGCGTCAGGCCCACTCAATTTGTGGATGTCCAGGGAGTGGTTTGCTTTACGAACCGAGTGATGTGTGAACCGCACATCCGGCATGGAGCACTCACGCCGCGGTATGGTCGTCGGTATGCTCCCCCCGTAATCGAGAGTCGAGTTGGATGCAAAGAAAGAGCCTAACAGATCGGCTTTCTCCTTTGCGGCATGGACCAGTGAGTCGTCCTTCCTGTGCAGAGATGAAAGAGATGACTGACAGAAGTACCTTTGGCCAGCCTTGGCGACAGATCATAATGCACGGGTTCGCGAAAGAAGGTGAACTAATTTCATTTCCAATTCTACCGATGTACTCTGACTTTGCCTTGGCATTGATTCTTTTAAAGGGCCTGTAGGCTGAATTATACTTATTTTTAAGGGTGCTGGTGTTTACATCTCGAGACGATGTCAGCCCAGGCCCGTTAGCACTCCTGCTTATAGCGTAATGCTATTTTACAGAAGCGACCACACCATGACTGAGATCTGCCTCCGATAGACTAGACAATGGTCCGAAGAGCCAAGAGGGACGTCGACGGAGACCTGATATCCGTACGGATGAGAGGTTAACAATAGGTCCGACGATAACGGTGCATGATCCTCCACATCTAGAATCCGCGTAGGTGAAGTAACCAGTTACGTCAGACCATATGCCGAGGCAAAGTCATAAACAGATCTCCCCTCATGATCGGTGTAACGTGAACAGAGCCATTCTACGTGGTGGTATTAAAATGGGCGAGAATCACGATCTCTATGGATGGGATCTGCTGTAGCAAGGAATCTGTAGTCATTTGGACGTAGTCGATGAGTCAGTCTGTTTCAGTATTACCGCTATAGGACTTATAGAGGCAACCGTAGACGAGCGGATCGTCGCTCTCTACGCGTAGCCAAAGGACATGTGAACAGGACCTTTAAAACTGCCGAGGCGTCGAGAACAGATGTCCTCTCTGACGTATACGCAAAATACAGCCCGAGACACAAAGAAGCGTTCCAATTCTTCTCCGGGTAGGAGAGATACGATTTATCAGCCGGAGAGGACACCTGCGTCTCGGTCAGAAAGTGCAAGGCTGGCTTTGCCGTCTCGAGATGGTAGTAAACGGTGTTTAGGTTCGAATGAGGTCCCTTGATGTTGCAGAAGAAATTCATTCTCAGTGGGGTTCTCATGATCCCGCTACCATGTTGATGGGGGGGGGGGGGGGATTGTGTCTCCGGACACCCGCACTAACCAGACTTCAGAAACGTATAAACAGAGCTTCTACTTCACCTCGGCTTGCGCCGGCCCATGTCGCTACCAGGCTCTACCACTGTTTATTCCGAAACGATGTTCATTTTATCCATTTCGGCGCAAAATTTAAAGCGCGTGGCTAACATAAAGGAGATCGTCTCGTCACTAGCAACTTAACAACCAGAAAAAAATAAAGTAGGTAATATTTATTTGGTGCAAGCCTTCGATCAACTAATTGTTGATCGAAGGTACAAGCCGTATAACCATTGAAAATAGTATCTGCTCTTCAATGGATGTATAACGACATAGACTTCGCGATCGCTTCGAAATTTTGTGGTTTGTCACAGATTTTAAAACCGACCGACTTCAACTTCGGATATGGTTACTATTAAGTTAGTTTACTTTAGTCCTTTAGTAAGTTAGTTTAATTCTATATAATATGTAAGTTTAGTTCTATATTGCTGGTGTGAAAAATAAGCATCAATTATCTTCAGGCAAAAAGAAATATTTATTGTTGTAGTTATTCATGGTGAAAGCACATGAATCTATAATATAAAAATGAATGGCTTAATGTGTTGCTAAGCGCAAATCTCGAGAGCAGCTAAACCGATTTCGCTAATTCTTTTTTTATAATATTCCTTGAAGTACGAAGATGGTTCTTACGGAGAGAAAAATTAAAAAATTGCCTGAGAAAGTCTAAAAACAACACTTTTCTATATTCCCATACAAAAGATTCGTAAGAATCCTTAAAAGTCAATTTGAACTTTAATACCATACCATAAAGTTTAAGTGTTAGTGGAGGGGTTCCGGGAAGGCAAAAGAATTGAGTGACGTTAGTATCGTATAAATATTAAAGTCAATATTTGTCAATATTTATAAACACTGGCAGAGAGCTGATGTTATAAGGAGTAACTTGGGCTGCTTTTATTTTACGGTTCTGCGAAAAATAACTTCATGCGGGCGAAGTCGCGGGGAACAGCTAGTATATAATAAAATCATATATAGTTAGTCAACCCTTGTGTTAATTTAAAAAAAATAGGTAAAGAAATAGACATGTTATTTTATTCATTATTATTGTTACCTTTATATAATAACTTTACAAATGTTGTATAGCTACTTACATTGCAAGGTCTTTGGAGAGAATTGTAAGTAGTCCCAAGGAAATTTACAAGTGTGTAGTAATAAACTATCTTAATTTTATATATTTAGGTATAGATTATAGGGTATTAAGTTTGTGAATTTTGAAATACATTTTAGTGTGGACTTAGGTATATCTCGCTTAAAGATCACTGATTACAGCGGCGTCGTGTGACACGTAGGCCATGTCCCTTTATGGTGGAGGAAGGCGATGCACATGCATTATTCTTGTGCTATTTGTAACTATTTAATTTATTATTTCCACACAGGTATCGAGCAAGGGCGCTTAGAAATGTGGGTTGACATGTTTCCAATGGACATGCCTCTTCCGGGACCGCCATTGGACATATCGGCTCGTAAACCTAAGTCGTACGAAATGAGAGTTGTTGTATGGAATACAGATGATGTAGTTTTGGAAGATGATGCCTTCTTCACCGGCGAAAAGATGTCTGACATTTATGTGAAAGGGTATGCTAAGATTTATATTTTTAATAAAAATAAAAATTATAATTAAATTGGAGCTCAAAAAATTTTGTCTTTTGAAAATATATCGCGGTCATCTGTTTTTATCTAAATTTTAGTATTCTTTATACATTTTTAGTATGGAACTTGTTTCTATTAACATAGAACACATTAAAAATAGATGGTTGCAAATAAAATTCACAAACATTCATTTACATAATTGTTTGGTTCACGAAACTGTTAGTACCTATATTTTAACACGCTTTTATTAACTTCGCCTATATATCTATCTATATATCTATCTAAGTAACGGAATCTTTTAATGTAATTTTCACCAACTTGTAGACGGCCGATTGGACTTGAAAAGCATTCGTATCCAGGACCGATGACAATACAATAATTTAATAACTGTATCCTGGTATCCTGATCAGGATCACCAGGATAAAATAATGATCATCACAGCTCATGATCAATGCGTGTTAAGTTTTTTTTAAACTCTTATTTGCTCCATGAAAGTCTAATATGTCAACAATGCTTGAAATAATATAAAAAAATACGCAGTTGTAATATGTACTTTCCTTCTTACTTAGTTAGAATAAAAGTTTATTTCATTAATAATTATAATTATAATTCAATAAATGAAATAAAAATAAAAATTAATGTACTAACCAAGGTCATGGCGTGTCTAATTTGCAGAATGCAGATTTATCCAACGCCCCAACAGTGGTGAATCTCATCTGTCCGCTAGACACATCTTTTGCTCATTATGACTTCAAGCCCGTCAACATATGCTTATGCAAACACGCCTGAGGCGCTACAATACCACAGCAACCCCATTAGAAGTCTTAACGCATTATTGTTTTGGACGCGCAGATCATTGTATGCCCTCCATGTATAGTTCACTCACAGGTTGCGTGTATAGAAGCACTGACAACAGACTTGGAAATCGTACTCTTAACCTATTTAGTGCAGCGTCCAAACCTTCGAGCCAATATTACATCGGACAGACAGCGATCTGCGCTCCCTCTACATATCAGTATTGTCATTCACGTCTTCGGTAAATTAAAATTATTAAGTTATTGTGGTAAAGTATGAGTATGTTGTCTGACAATCTCGCGAAATATTACAATTTCTTCCAATTCTAATCTTCCCGTGTTACAATTAATATGTCACACGGTAACTTTCTTATTTAGTGATATCTACACTAAAGTGGCATTTTTCAGGTGGTAGCCCCTGCTCGCTATTTATTTTTTATTTGTTATTTATTTATACTCTTTATTGCAGACAAAACACTACACAAGACAGCAAACTTAAATTTATCAACGAATGTACAATTAGGTGGCCTTATCGCTAAACAGCGATCTCTTCCAGGCAGACCTTGGTGAAGGAGATAATTTTCATTTAAATATATAGAAGTGTGCATAAATAGTAGATAAACAAGCATATATTAAAAATAATATTATATATACCTATACACATAAACAAATATATACATACACACATACATATACACATATACCTACATATACATACATAGAATACATACACTTTTATAAATATTTCTGTAATACATTATAACTATATATCATATACATAAAAACCTTATCAAGAAAAGTAGATATGACAATAAAATATATTAAATAGAACACATATTTAAATAATAATCTTTAACCACATTTTTGAAAGACTCAATGCTTTGGGCTTCTATCAATTGTTTCAATTTAATCTCAGTTATTTTGGTCTAGTACTAAAGGAAGGTCTAAACATAATTCTCACTGTATTACTTGCAACCCTGTGTGTTATCATTTCTAGTACTTTATGGCACAAATTTTGTGAGCCCCTTCCCAATAATAAATTACTATGTAGGTAGTGGCGGTGTGAGAATAATCACAACCCCATCTCTTCCCGTGAGCTTCGTAAGAGGAAACAGAGGGAAACATTCCAGGAGATGGGAAGCAACATCTTCCTAATAACGTCTAGAAAACAAAAAGCTGTGGTTGCCAACCCACAACTTCGACCGAGAGGAAAATCGACGGATCCAATTCGGCTAGGCACAGCATTTGGAAGATTAAGACACATCTTCTCGTCACGTATTTCTCAAAATTTGCAACCAGTGCGTGTTGCCTATGTCATCACTAACAGATGGGTCTGAGACGTGGTCCTCTACTACCCGCCGTATGAGAAAGCTCATGGTGAGATTCTTTGCATGATGGAATTCGAAATGAAGATATCTGTGGGTCTACGACCAGAGTGACCAAAATCAGTTAGCTGAAGTGGCAATGGGCCTGTGATATACCCTGGAATTCCGATAACCGATGGGGAAAGAAGTTCTCAATTGACAGCTTCGTACCGGTAGATGAAGTGTAGGGCGCCTTTCAACTAGATGGAGGTGACGACTTGGTAAGACATGCAGAAAAAATGGCTATAGGTAGCTGAGGACCGTGCTTTGTGGTATTTCTTTGAGGGTTGTTCATGAAAATGTTGAGGGGAGTCATATGTTCATCGGTGGACTTGTTTAGGATTGTAATAAAATAATAACATTTTTTTTAACAGTTGGCTTAAAGGTCCTGATGATTGTCAGTGCACGGACATACATTATCGATCCCTAACTGGAGAAGGCAATTTTAACTGGCGCTTCATTTATCCATTCGATTATTTGGAGGCTGAAGAACGTATTGTAATTTCTAGAAAAGAATCAGTTTTTTCTTGGGATGAGACTGAATGCAAAATTCCAGCCCGCTTCGTGCTGCAAGTGTGGGATGCAGACCATTTTTCTGCTGATGATTTCTTGGGTAAAATTTAATTAAACATATTAATTTATAGAGTTTTCATTATTTATAAACTGCAAATTAAATATTAATGTAACAATGTTTATTGCAGGAGCTATTACATTGGACTTGAATAGATTCCCCCGTGGGGCAAAATCATCTAAGTTATGTTCTCTGAATATGCTTAGTAATGACGGCACGGTCCCAATGGTAAACATATTTAAACAAAAGCGTGTAAAGGGATGGTGGCCTGTCTACATTAAACGTGACACTGAGGAAATGGAACTAACAGGGAAAGTAGAGGCAGAAATACATCTCTTAACACGTGAAGAAGCTGACAAAGCACCAGCTGGTCTAGGACGCAATGAACCGGATCCTTTGGAAAAACCAAAGTTGGTAGCATTATATTTTTTTTCCCCACAGACATTTTATATTGGTCGCACAATTTTATAAATTTATTACACACTGAGCGTGGAGAAACAATTTACGCTATTTGATACGTAATTGTCTTCCACTCTCTATTACTTTCTATAAACTTTAGTGGCACGTAAAGCATATACAAAATCAACAACAATAAAAACTAATAGCAGTTGAAACTGCGTACTACAATTAACATAGTAACAATATAGAAATTTTACATCAGTGATTAACAATAAATACAGTAATAAAAGATAACAAAATGGCACATACATATTCTTAGTCTATAATTATAAAACAATAATAATGAAAACAAAAGGACCTTGTAAAATATTACATCTTTTTAGTCTATATAACTATAAAAATTAGCAGATAAATTACAAAAAAAAAAATACAGTAATGAAAAAGAACAGAAAGACATTCTAAACCTTATATATTCTTTGGTTTATAATTATTTTTATACCTACTTACTAATTTAATAATTGTTACTCGTACCGCTATTTACAATCTTATTAAAGTTCTTTAGGTTCTTAAGTACATTTTCATTGAGTTTTATGAAGGAATGCAGAGCCGATTCCTTCCTCATCAGTTCTGTGAGTTTGTATGGCGACACTCTTAAGTTATTGCACAGTAATTCATGATGTATTCTGTATCGGCAGAAGGTGGGGCAGTTCTCCAATAGATGTTCCAACGTCTGAACTGTGCGGTTGTCGCACGGACATTTATCGTTTTTAATGATTGATAATTTTTAGTGATAACCGTGTCCGGTGAGAAATTGTGTAAGGTAGAAGTTAGTTAGAGTCAGTGTTCGTAGCCTTTCAACATCATTCAGTGTGGGAAGAAGGTTTCTTGTGCGTTTACCCTGTGATGCACTGAGGTACCTAGTTTGCCAGGTGAAGCGATTGTTTTTTCTAATTATGTGCTTGATGTGTGTAATAGGGAACTCAGAGTAATCAGGCGACTTGTGGAGTCTAGAGCCCGCCTTGGCGGCCTCATCGACGGCTTCGTTACCCGATATACCTGAGTGTCCCTTAATCCAGTCGATGTGTATGGTGCCTATAGATTTGTGTTCATGTAAGTATTTGTGTATGTGTGTGACTATGGGGTATGTGTTACTTCTGTTCTGAATTGCATGAATGGATGAGCGTGAGTCGGTGTATATAATTGCGCGTGTGTACTTATGTGAGGTAGCCCATTTGCATGCTTCCCGAATTGCGAACAATTCCGCCTGGAACACTGTACAGCTGTCGTGAAGCTTAAACTTTTTGGTTGTCACTATGGAGTGAGGGTTGTGTTGACTGTAGCATATAAAGGCGGCTCCCACGGCTCCATCCTCCTGTTTGCTAGCATCCGTGTAAAATGTATAATGTGCTGTCTCTTCGTCAGTACATTGGTGATTGGGTGTGTTATATGGGTGTATAGTGATTCGGTCAGCGGGATGAAGCAACTCATGTACAGGAGTGGGTTTCTCCAAGGAAATGTAGCGCGGAATTAAGTCAGACATCCCCAGCAGTCTAGTCTTTTCAATGTGATGGATCTCTTTGATTTTAAGGTCTAGGGGCATAAACTGGGCGAGTGCAATGGCGGCGGTCGTTGATGTAGTGCGAAATGCTCGTATGGCCTTGACGGCAAACCCGCGTTGCATACTCTCGAGGCTCCTCCTGATCCACTTTTTCTGTACAATATGTCTCCATATTCCCGCAGCATATGTGATCGTGGGTACAATCACCTGATGATAAATTGTACTAACGTTTTCTGGGTGAGCACCCCAGGTGGACCTCGAGTACATGCAAAGCGTATTAAAGATTCGCATGGCCTTGTTTATAACATATCGGACATGATGCCCAAAGAGCAGCTTTTCGTCCAGTATAACCCCCAGCAGTTTTAATTCAGGTTCGAAAGTGAGAATGTGTCCATTGATGTAAATGTTGGCCGATTTTGCTTTGGGTGTAAAAGCAATAAGTTTTGTCTTGGTAGGTCCGAATATTAATTTGACACTCGCTCCCCACTGAACAATTTGGGAGAGTGCCAGATTGGTAGTGTTCTCTAAATCACATACGTTTGCAGCAGTGACTACTAGGAGGACATCATCCGCAAATGCCTGTAGATGGCAACCTGCTGGTAGCCTCATGTCTAGGAGTTCATCAAGTATGATATTCCATAAGAGGGGACCACACGCGGAGCCCTGAATACAGCCCTTCGACATCGTCTTCGTGGCCCGCCTCCAGGCATGGTCTAAAATGATTTCACGATTGCGGACATAGTCTTGGATTAGTCCAAAGATGTTACTGGGACAGCCAATGTGTCGCAACCGTTGAAAAAGCGCCGGTCATCAAGCGTTGTCAAAGGCGGCTTTGATATCTAGTGAGATGACAATACTGAGGTGTTTGTTGTCCTTCGCTTGTTTAATAATATTTAAGGCAGTATTGATGGCTTCACAAGTATTAGTTTGCTCTCTGAAGCCAAACTGGTGTTTGTTCATCATGTTTTGCTTTTGGCCCAGTATGTCACTCTCCTAATGAACAGCTTCTCCAGCAGCTTGCCGAATACAGGCAGAAGTCCTATAGGTCGAAACGATTCTAGGGCTGTGTAATCAGACTTTCCAGGCTTGGGGATGATCTTAACGTAAGTTATCTTCCACTGGTCGAGGAAGTGCTGAAGTGTGAGGCATCTGTTGAGTCTGTCAGTAGTTTCGGGTAGTCTTTAGCGAATTGAAAGCAGATGTCAGAAGTCAGATTGTCCAGTCCCGGTGCCTTGTTGGGGTTCATGTATTTAAAACACTCCAGCACTTCATCCTCAGTGAAGGGAGGATCGTCGTTAGAATGTGGAGAGTCAGTCAGTTGGGATCGAAGTAGGTGAAGTCGAGGTTCAGTTTCAGGTTGGTCGTCGGGGTAAAAATGATTGAGGAGGGCTCTAGCGGTTTCTTCACTACTTGTGGTGTATTTGTTGCCTATGTTAAGAGTGACTGGTGATCGTCGGGGTGCAGTGGTGCGTATTAGTCTGTTGGTTAAAGAACAAACATTTTCCTTAGTCTGTAAGTCACAAAATTGACGAAAATGTTTAGTCGACTCATTCCGCAACGTCTGAGCATAGGCCGCTTTCTTAGCAGTTTGTGCCTGAATTAAATCGTGAAGGGGTAAGTTGTGATGTTTGGCGGCATGAAGTTGGTAATGGATGTCAATCACTTCCCGCTTCATGAGCTCCAGCTCCTCCGTCCACCAGGGGGCTTTCAGTTTATGTTTCTTACCATAAGTGTACATGCTATCACGACAAGCACAGTGTATAATGCTGGTAACGTCTTCAATGACCCGGTCTAATTCTTCTACGCTTAGTGTGCGTATGTCTCTGTCAAGAATGTCTTAAAGGGTCATATGAGTGTGAAGTGAGTCCTTGAAAACTGGCCAACATGCCTTGTTGGTTCTGTATAAAAAAGTAGAAGTATTACTAGGATATTCAGATGTGGATGAAATAAAATTAATATTAAATTCGATACCGTTATGTTGCGAGCTTGGGCAAATGTCCAAGTTAACTCGCCAGTCAGATAAATGATCGTAAATTTGTCCAGAGGCTAATGTGAGATCTATTATAGAGCAGCGAATTCGCCCGTGGGTGACCGTTTCGAAAGTAGGAATTTTTCCTGTATTACAAACATACATATCATTACAATATATTAGGTCAACTATTTCGTTGCCTCGAGAGTTGGATTTGTCACTTCCCCATATTGGGTGCCACCCATTGAAATCGCCCACAACCACCTTGAGAGAGTTACCGGTTGCTTTAAGGAAAGCATCTAAGCGATTGAGAGTATTCAGCTTGTCACCATCGGGTTCTACGTATACTGATGCAAAATATATGTTGCGGTTACCCGAAGACAATCGAACCACGCTGAGGTTTGGCGATGAAAATTGAGAGAGTCCTATTTGGGACTCACGTCCAGGTTTAGCCAGAATGCATGCCTTAACCCTAGTTTTGGATGGAAACTGAAAAATCTCTAGCCCGTGTATTGGTTTCAGCTCCATACCGGATCCTACATATGGCTCAGATATAAGAGCAATATCATAATTGCTATTTGTGAAAGAGAGGATTAATTCATGTAAACTGTTTCGCGATTTATCAATGTTACACTGTAAAATCTTTAAATTATTGAATGGATCCATAGTCTATCCTGTTCATAATCCTCTCTTTCATGGCTCTCAGTCTCGGGCAGGTGTGTGAATTAGCGGTGTGCTTAGTGTCGGTATTTGCGTTAAAGCTATTGTTATGAGATGTGCAATTAAAGCATTTAGCGTTGTGTAAATTGTTTTTAACAGGGCAGTCGTTCACTTGGTGGCTGGTGCTAGCGCAATGAGAACAGGGGATTTCATTTGATGTGTATTTTGACCTCATATGACCAAATTGTAAACATTTATGGCACTGAATGAATCGTGAAAAACTACCAACATGTACGCGCTGGTAGTCGACACCAACTCTACTTAACTGGATCATCTTCCGCTATAATTTAGGTTCTGTCAAAAATACTGCATTGTACAAATTTTTATTATGATTTCCACGTTTAAATCTTAATTTAAAATTCTCACCTTCCCCGGATTCGATTAGCTCCGTAAGTTCAGAGTTTTGACTGCTGATGATCTTATTAAGTTCCTCCGCTGGAACATCCTTGGAGATGCCCTTGAGTATAACCATCGGCTTAAGGCTACGCACTGGTTCTTTTTGAGCTCACTTTTATTTTTCAGTCGCAATAGAGTGTCATCACAGTGTTGTTGGTTATCGAACTCAATACGAATTTTATTATTTGAGACAGGTTGTATACGAGAAGGTGCATAATTCGATTCTCTATAGCTAATATTTTTCTTAAAAGTTTCTATAACCTCCTGTCTCGATTTTGCATCTGTAGTTGTACAAACGATAATGGCGGGCTTGGTTACTGGAGGAGGCGGCGGTGCAGGCTTGCCACTCGACAAGATGGTATTATTGTGACTGCCCGTTGCTGCAGCCTGAGCATATGTAGACCGTGTTTGTGATGCCATTTTCTTTTTGAAATCCGGTATCTCCTGACGAACACAGTCCACTAATTCTTTTTTGAGCTCCCCAAAAGCAGGTGGGGTAGGGTTGGAGCAGATATTTGCAATATTTCTACTGGCACGGCGGATCTCTTCAACCGCCATATTTATAATTCGCTTGTTAGTAGCAGTAACGCTCTTCCCTTTACTCACTGCTGCGCTGATGCAGGAGGTAAGTTTCGTGATCACATTAGTAAAGGTGTCCATGTTCACCACCTCCTCGGCAGAGGCCGGGAGGGTTAGAGGTTCGCCCTGTGATGGCGGCATGCAAGAAAATAATAAAACAGAAAGTGAATTTTGTTAATTACGTTAATTTTAAAAAAAAGTTACGCATCGGCGGATGGTTAGCTTTAAAAAGATATTTAGAATGGTTAGCTATCTAGGGTTAAATAGACAGCATATGTGTTGTTATTAGTTTCATATGCTCCAAACTAGGTGACGCTATCTATATTGTAATTTCATTACTTCCAACTAGATGGCGTTTTTCATATAATCTTTAATATGTGAAGACGGCGGGCGTATCAAATTTAAAATGTACCGGTTTCAATATATGGAAATAAAGATTTATGATCACTAGATTGTTTTAACTCACATAAAGTATTTGTTAGGATGTAATTAGGCTCACTTATACCTTTTTATCACTGTCATGTATGTTTCAAATAATATTTGTTTAGTTTACACAAAAATTGTCACATAACTGTTTTTAACTATTTTTTATAGTATTTGATAAATTTTACACTAGATAACACTTGTACTTGATTATTGTAACTAAATCTTTGTTTTAAACTAATATTGGCATTTAACTAAATCGTTTTTAATATTTTTATGGAGAGAAAATACGTAGAACTATTGTTTACACACAGAGCAGCGCCCCCTTCTCGGTAGCATTATATTAGGTGTTTTTATACCAACTTAGGGTGACAAATGAGTACAGAGTCTACCTTTTAATAAGTGGGTTCTAATGTCGATTAAGCTAAATATATCCCCATAATTTAGAATGCATCGTTACTTCGTTGCCAATAAAAATAATCTCTGGTTCTCTGTACTCACCATACAAAGAACGGCAGCATTATACTGTTACACGCTGGTATTCTGACACAATAGAGCTGCAGCGTAACTCTATCACACAATACGTCTGTCGCTCATTTATCAATTGAGCACCCGGTCAACTCAGCACCACCTTTCCTCTAGAGATTGTAATTTTATACGTACTTTCTTACTGTCACTATAGTACACGCAAACGCTTGCGGCATACGCGGCCATTAAACATGTAAAGAGCAACGATGATATTGCGCTCCCTCTTACTTTGGAATTACTAATTAGACAAGGAAGACTATGAAGGCGTAACTACAAAATTGTGTTTTTAAATTAAATTTAAAAAGAAACAGACTGGAAATTCATTTTTCAGTCTTCTATGGTTGTCTAAGCCATAGAATACTATATTTTATGGTCTAAGCCCTAGCACAATCATTTTATGACTGCAATAGCCACTACCGTAGGGTTCTACTGACTATAATCAGTTTCATGTCGAAGCCGAATCTCCTAACTCGTAAGCTACTGTTGTCGATCCAAACTCAACGATATGGGTATTAAAAATGTATGTGTAGCCTAAGGAAGTAATTGGCATAGACATTATAATATCAAGCATAAAATTACGAAATGTCATACAGATTTTATGTATTATTTTACAGAATAAGGGTTACAAACGTGCACACAATCCACCTGATGGTAACTGGAGGCTGTGACCCATAGACATCTAACTCTATCCTTGATTAAAATTAGAAATGAAGATGTGTTGTCAAAGTACTAGGATGGAACGCCTCATATACAATAAAATCTAAGTCTAAGTCTTTGGAAGCCTACACTCACCATACGAAACAAAGCGGAATTAAGGTACTTCCCCGGTCGAACAGACACATTTGAGTTACAAACAATATAGCTGGAGCGTGGCTGTCACGTTTTACATGGAAATATGAAATTTATGATGTGTGCTGCTTTTTGAACTTTACTATTATAGATTAGGTACGTCAGGTCGTGTAATTAGCTGGTGCCGATAGGGTACCGCAAGCAATCACTTTAAAAATGGAAATCGAAACATCGTCTAATTATTACTGACATTAGATTGCAAAATTCCTAAACTTCTAAATTTCTATTTTATTGCTTCAGACGCCCAGATGCATCTTTCATGTGGTTCCTCAACCCACTTAAATCTATCCGGTACATCGTCTGGCATAACTACAAGTGGACAGTACTGAAAGTATCTTTAATACTATTCCTGGCAATCATGATTTTGTTGCTAGTTTATGCAGTCCCAGGATATACAGTCAAGAAGCTCCTAGGCGCTTAAATGAAATATTTAATCAAATACTTTGGTGTTTAATGTATTAATATTTAAAATTTTCATTTCTTATGTAATAACCAACATCCATGTTTCGAAACTATAACTTACGTGTAAATCAGTGTATGACATATTACAATTAATAAAGATTAATAAATTAATCTTAAGCTTAAATGAAATGTTTAATCAAATACTTTGGTGTTTAATGTATTAATATTTAAAATTTTCATTTCTTATGTAATAACCAACATCCATGTTTCGAAACTATAACTTACGTGTAAATCAGTGTATGACATATTACAATTAATAAAGATTAATAAATTAATCTTAAGCTTAAATGAAATGTTTAATCAAATACTTTGGTGTTTAATGTATTAATATTTAAAATTTTCATTTATGTAATAACCAACATCCATGTTTCGAAACTATAACTTACGTGTAAATCAGTGTATGACATATTACAATTAATAAAGATTAATAAATTAATCTTAAGCTTAAATGAAATGTTTAATCAAATACTTTGGTGTTTAATGTATTAATATTTAAAATTTTCATTTATGTAATAACCAACATCCATGTTTCGAAACTATAACTTACGTGTAAATCAGTGTATGACATATTACAATTAATAAAGATTAATAAATTAATCTTAAGCTTAAATGAAATGTTTAATCAAATACTTTGGTGTTTAATGTATTAATATTTAAAATTTTCATTTATGTAATAACCAACATCCATGTTTCGAAACTATAACTTACGTGTAAATCAATGTATGACATATTACAATTAATAAAGATTAGTAAATTTTATATAAATTTTATTTAACAAAACATTAACAATAGTACAAAAACTTTGATCATAGAAGTACCTATTTGAGGGATATCTTATACTAAATTTATACTATGGAATAATTTAGAAACTTGCCTAGATTTAGGGTTGGGGTAAAAATAATAAAATCAGCAATGTTTTCGACGACGACGACGACGGCAGCAGCAACTGCGCCGGCGACGGATGCGGCGTTGTCTTCGCCGACGGCAACAGCTCCTCGCCCTGCGTCTCCTCCGTCCACAAGCCATTTCTCGCGGCTCCCAATTTAAGTAATGAGAACCCTTTCTCTCCAGAAAGCCTAATGCAGCTCCATTTTCTAGGATCTTCTCCACAGTCCGATTCAGCTCATCAGAATTCTCTTTCCCATAATTTGTTTGCAAGTGACTCAAAATTTCACTTAACGTAGCGCCTCCTCTAGCTTCTTGCAGAAATTTGATAATTATTCTACCAGGAGGGCCCTCGGTAGGCTTATCCGCTGCTTCTACCGCCGTCATTTTTAAATTCAATTTCAAGCCGGTAATTACGTAAATTTAGTTAAACATTACTTTAGATTCTTTAAATTTCGTATATCCAAAAATCTTATGGCATAATTAATCAGTCAAACATACTCAATAAAATTTCAATTTCAAATAATAGAAGTATGCTTCTTTTGTTTTTGAAGTTCTATAGCATTTTTTTTCATCATGCACTTTCATCTAAAAAGGTTGGTTTTAATTTCAATCAATATTATCAATATATAAATATAAAAAGTTTGAATTAAAAAAAATATATAAATCAATTATATATATTTAATATATTAATTATAAAAATTAGGTAAAATATAACTCAAAAACAAAAAATAATAATTTGTAGTTATTAGCTTCTAAAGTTGGTGCTAAGACATTTCAAGAACTTCATCCCGTATTTTTCTACCCTTAGGACGAAATTTTTTTCTTAAGCTTTGTTCAGCCAATTCCGAGAAATCGGTAAACATAGGACATAAAAGGTATTACTCGGTTAATAATATCAGTGACAAATAACGCACAAAGTATAATATTATACCATCTTCAGATTGCTTTCAATGACGTAAAAATTATTTGTGTTATGATGCCCAAATACTCAAACGAGTACGTTTAATTTTAAGACGTCGTTAATTCTCGTGCTATCTCTATCACTTTAAGGCAAAGTGACTGTAACACCACGAGACTTAATTACATCTTAAAATGAGCCGCGTTTGAGTATATATTTTTTCTACTTATTATAAGCCAGTGCTTGACGGTAGCCCTAGATGGTAAATCGCACTGTCTTAGCGCAACAAAAGCCTATTCACTCTCGCTTTGAAGATGCCCAGATGGAGTGTTTATTAAATTATCCAGGACAAACTTACTTGAAATCAATATCACGACTGTGGCTAAGTTGCTGCAGGTATTAATAGATCCTAGTCCTTCTGATAGGTTAACTGTATAATTTGCTTGCTGAACTGAGGCGGAACTGAGGCGGATTGGAACACATATTTTTTTTATAGAATAAGGGTGACAAACGAGTACACAGTCTACCTGATGGTAAGTGGTTGCTGTGACCCATAGACGTCTACATTTATCTTCGTATGCGAATTAAAATGCAGATGCGTTGTCAGCCGTGAGGACTAAGATAGAATGCCTCGTTTCCAGTAAAATATGTCGCAGTACAGTAAAAATGGTCTCCTGCTCTCTACACTCATCATACAAAACGAAATGCTGGTATTCTGTGAGAGCGTGGTCCTTCCCCGGTCGAGCCGACCCATTCGTGCTTCAACTAGACTATTAATATAGGTGTAGCATGGCTCCACCACGTATAACTACCACTAAACATGGAAACACTTACCTGTATCCAATATCACGTTTATGTAACGTATGTATCAGATGGAGACTTGGATAAAATACTAAAAATGTAGAGACTGACAATTCCAGATTCAAATAGAAGTTATTTGTGTACTTTTACAAGAATTTATGTAATAAGGATACAACAAAATGCACCTCAATAATTTTACTATTAATTTATCTCTTTTTGTCTCATTATTCATACTGTCTACTGCGGGCTTCTCGTATTCTAGGTGGCTAGCGACCGGATTGTCAATCTAACAGTAGCAGTCGAATGAAATATTTGCGACTTTGATGTTGCTTTTCGTCGCCGGTCGGGAAACTTTACATCAAGTATTACAAACAAATACTTGGCACAAGATCTTCGGCATACTAACTTAAATTGGCCGCTCTCATGAGATATGGTTCGATGTAACCTCTTATAGCCGCTATTCCCAATGTATTAATTACATTTCAAAATTTTATTTGAATCAGTTAAACAAAATGTACATAATATTAGGTCCTTACATATGAAATTAGCGTTTTGTCGTACTGACCCATTGATCTGAAATATCTCCTCTTTCATTTAGCTGGTACATTTTAGTTTTGAAAACAGTCATTCATTTGTTTTTTCCTCATTATTTCGACCTTGGGAACTAATCCCGTGGACGGCCGGAGCACTTTCGAGATAGCTGAAGGCTTCGGGGTAAGTGATAAAACTGTATTAATCCACTTGATGCAAATCGGGAAAGTAAAAAAACTTGAACGATGGGTACCTCATGAATTGAATGAATCGAACTTGCAAACACGCGACGACTGCTGTGTTACTTTGCTCAACCGACACAATAATGAAGGGATTTTAAATCGAATAATTACTTAATTTTAAATCGATTAAAAGTGATAATGGGATAAGATAATCGGAAGCGCTCGTCGCAATGGCTGAACCCTGGAGACCCAGCCAAATCCTGCCATAAACGAAAATTGACTCAGAAAATTTACTTGGGAGTGTTTGGTGGACTAGCGCCGGTGTCGTTCACTACAGCTTTCTAAAATCTGGCCAAACGATTACGGCAGATATCTATTGTCAGAAACTGCAAACCATGAAGGGAGAACTAGCTGCTAAACAACCGAGATTAGTCAATCGCTCTAGGCCACTGCTGCTTCACGACAACGCAAGACCACACACTGCACAACAAACAACCACTAAGTTAGATGAGCTACGATTGGAATGTCTACGACATCTACCATTCTCCCCGGACCTTGCTCCAACAGATTACCATTTTTTCCGGAATTTGTACAACTTCTTAGAAGGAAAAAAATTCAACTTCGATGCGGCAGTCCAAACCGCCTTCAAAGAGTTTATCGATTCTCGCCCCCATTTAAGGTTTTTTAGTAAGGCGATCAATGAACTACTTATGAGATGGCAAAAGTGCATAAATAACAACGGTGCATACTACTTTGATTAATTAAATATATTTTACAAAAAAAAAATACTTTATATTCCTCCCGTATAAAACGCCAATTTCGTATGTAAGGACCTAATATTATAACAAATCTTTATAAATTATCCCTGAACCCCTGAACGTCTTGACTGACGGAGGTCATATTCACGCAGCATATTAATTATGTGGTCTGTAATCAAGTTATTAACAAATTATTTAATTTAATGACTAAAATGACTCAAATTCACAATAATATAATGTTGTTTAGTGACAAAAAGAAAATCATAAAATCTCTACTAGAGCACTGAGGTAGATTTAATAATGAATTTTATTATTACACAAAAAAAATTCGGGGTGAACGCAGTTTCTAATTTACAGGCAATGCAGTCTACTTTCTTTGCTTCCGTGTATAGTATCAATGACTTATATAACATAATTTTAAATAATAAAGTAGACCTGTGCTTTGCTGCAGAGAGCAAGATAAGCATGGGTAACGCTCTGTCCCGCCGAAATTGTCCCACAGTTAGTTAACCAACAAAAACAGTGGGATATTTTGTTTATACGGAGAGTGCAGATTTGTTTGACATTTTCTACAGTTACCAAGATCAGGCTAGCCTTCTAGCTGTTTCGACTAAGGAATCTAGTTACTGGTTACACGCTGTACCATCAAGTAATCTCGCCACATTACTTGATAGGGAAAGCTTGCACATTGCCGTAGGAATCAGAGTAGAGGCGGCAATTTGTCTACCTCACCAGTGCCCCTGTGGTAGTAGCGTCAACGAGTTTGGGCTCCACGGACTTTCATGTAAGAAAAGTGTAGGTAGGTTTTCCCGTCACGTTTCTTTAAATGAAGTTATCCGAAGGGCTCTTGTCTCTATTCTTGTCCCTCAGTTTTAGAGCCTTACGGGATATTTAGAGATGACGGCAAGAGACCCGACGGTATGACTTTAGTCCCTTGGGAGAGAGGTAAAACTCTAGTGTGGGATGCTACTTGCGTAGACACTTTGGCGGCCTCTCATCTTAAGGATACCTCGTTTAGAACCAGGGCGGAGTCGGAGGCAGCTGAATTAAGTAAGTAGCGCAAATACGAATCTTTGAGAAATGATTACATATTTGTGCTATTTGCTGTAGAGACTATCGGTCTGTGAGGTCCACGAGCGGTGAAGTTTCTAAAGGAACTATATCCACGACTGGTCGTAGCTGCTGGTGATAAGAGGACTAGTTCTGTTCTTGCTTAAAGATTAAGTATATACATTCAGCGAGAAAACGCAGCCAGCGTTCTTTTCACGTTACCACGGGGAGTAGGACTGTGTGACAATTAAAATTTTTAACTTTAGTTTTACTTTATTATAGTGTTTTTTTAATATTGTGTGTAACGTTTTAGTTAGATTTTATACTGTGTTTTAACAATGTTAATTAATCCTTAAGTCGGTTGGTACTGGTACTGGCAGTATATTGTCCATCAAAAGATATTTCTATAAATATATATAATTTCTATTTTAACACGAAATTGTCAATTTTACCTGTCATAATTTTCAATATTGTCGTTTGGTTGGAATTTTTTAATTTTATGTATCGTAATAAATAAAAATTTGACATTAAACTTAAATAATTTACAATAATGTCTCAGCAAAATAGACAAGATCAGGACACAAACACTGGGAAGTTGGTTATGAGCGCGTTTTATAAAATTATGGGTAAAGATGGGGCGACCGCGGAAGACGTAACCAAATATTTGCAACACAAATTTGGTGATGTATGGAGAACAGGTAACTTGACGAAAAAAGCTGAGCAAACGCTGAAAAGAAGCGCAGCACTAGGCTTTTTAGATAAACGTGGAAAAAAATATATAGAGAAGCTTGCACGCGAAGTCCGGCGTGATAAACGCAAACGCAAGACCAAGAGCCGCCGAAGCTGGTTTGGGCTTCGCAGAAAGCAGCAACGTCGCCGTCGACGCCGATCATGCGGCTGTTCTTAGTTTTATATGTATGGAGTTCGAGGCTAAATTTTCGTTGTGATTACGACATATTTTAATGTGTGCATTGTTAGAAACATGTTTACTTCTCCTCCTCCACTCCTAGAGTAGATTGTGAGCATATATTTCTAATGATTATACTTCTTCATAAAATTTTTCTTCGCTTTTTATTTTATTCACGCCAGTACACGAACAACGGTTTTTTTATGTTTCTAATTATAAATAATATTTCGTAAAATATCTAAAATACACTTACAATT